GCTGAGTTGCCTGATCGTCAGAGGCTTTTAAAAGCATTTTTTTTTAACAACCTCTTCGGCTGAAGAGGTTGTAGAAAAAATGCTTTTAAAAGTTTTTTAAAAAGCCTCTGATGATCGCGCGGCTCAGCTGGGATCATCAAAGCCTTTTATAAGCATTTTTTTCTACAACCTCTTTGGCCAAAGAGGTTGTAGAAATTAATAATAATAATAATAATAATAATAATAATAATAATAATAATAATAATAATAATAATTTTATTTCTATACCGCCCTTCTCCCAAAGGACTCAGGGCGGCGTACAGCCTATTAAAAGCACAAGACAAACATCAATTAAAATTATTTAAAATTATTAAATAATTCGGCTTAATTTAAAACCCCAGAAATTTAAATGCTTTTAAAAGTTAAAAAAAAAAAAAGTTGGCCACGCCCACTCAGTCACATTACCCCCCTACCAAGCCACGCCCACAGAACCGGTAGTAACAAATTTTACATTTCACCACTGCCCCAGCTACATTGGAACGAACTCTCTGTAGTCCAGTGGCCATCGCAGAGAAGATGTCTTATGGTGAAATCTCCGGGCAAGGTTACATCCACCAGAGACTCCTCTGAAGGTTGCAAGGCAGGTTATAGTACGAAGGTACAAAGAGACACACCTTCTGGAATTGTAAAACTTCAAAGGGTCAGAGATCTGATGTGAGCAGGCAACCAGTGAAGCTGTTTCAGAATCTGGTAAAATTTACGTCTGGTTGTACTGGTTAGAGATCTGCCAGTTGGGTTGAGCATTGCTCATGAATCATCTCCATAGGTATTTTAATCTGCAATGCATCATAGATGGTTTTCTCTATCAGGGTCAAAATCTGCCAAGAAGGGCATGACACCATGGTCACCGTGTCACTCATTGTGTACACAGACAAGGGTGGGACTCTGACTGTGACCTTGCATTCACCATCCTGCAAATTTTGAGTAAGTTTGCAAGATCTCCCAAGCCTTCCTGCCACGCAGATTTGTGGTGGGGGGGGGACCACAATTCTTGGTATTTTCCAGGCTCACAGAGTCTCTCCATCACATCAGGTTACTGGTTCTCGTTTTCTTCCACCAAAGGCCTGTGGGATTTACCCTGAGTAAACCTTTAGCAGAACATTCCTTGAAGTAGATCGTTGAAAGTGTTTTGTTCTTCAATCTTTTCTAGGAAATGACTATGCAAATATAGGAATGTGTACAGTGTAGGGCAGTCTTTGATTGCATCAGACTGCAACCTGCAAAGTTCCCAGCCATCATAGTGATGGTTGGGGGAGGAATGGTTTGTGTGAGGGCTATGAATTGGGTAGTCCTCATTTTGAATGTTCATTTTGCCTAGGAATTCATTGGGTTACCTTGGACAAGCCACTTTCTCAGTAATACTGCTTCAGAAACCATCTAGCATTATCTGGGATCTATACCAGTTGATGCCCTTATCACAAGATTTAAGAAGCTTGCACACACTTTAGGAGAGTTAGAACAAGATCCCTGATTCCTCACGTTTCTCCAAAGAGTTTAAGGTCATGCAACGTTGAGTTGTCCTCAATGACCTGTGGATTAAAGACTGAAAGTTACTAGGTTGCATTATATTGACTTCGGGTGGATCAGATAGAACGGTTAAGGCAAGATATGTCTGAGTGATTTATGCCATCCTGTAGCCATGGAAAGGCTCTCCTCGCTGCTGATATTTTAGTACAACTGTAGCTGGATGTTAGAAGTTCCTAATAAGAAATTGGATGGTGATCTATTCAGAACCAGTCAGGAAGCTTTTTTTTTTTTTTTTTTAAATTTGATTTATATGCCGCCCTTCTCCGGAGACTCAGGGTGTCTTACAATGCATTAAGCAATAGCCTTCATTCTTTTGTATATTTTATACAAAGTCAGCTTATTGCCCCCACAAACTGGGTCCTCATTTAACCTACCTTAGAAAGGATGGAAGGCTGAGTCAAGCTTGAGCCTTGGCGAGATTCGAACCTGCAGTAATTGCAGGCAGCTGTGTTAATAACAGGGTGCTTTAAACCACTGTACTACCAAGGCTTTGCTGGGAGCAATGATTTAATCGTGGACCTTGTCCAAATTTTAACACGCTAACCGTGCCCTCTGCTTAGATAGACAAGTTTGGCAACTGATTAAGAATGGCTGCCGGATTTGGGTCTGGCTAGTCTAAAGCAGGGGTCGGCAACCTTAAATACTCAAAGAGCCACAAAGGTCCTAACTGGAAGCCTTCCATTCAATTCTGGAGCTGACCGGAAGTCCGGTTCCCCCACCATAGAGTCTCCTCCTAGCGAGGCGTCCTTTTTCTTCTACCTGTGCTAGCCGAAAGCCCTATCAATTGTGGAGCCAATCGGCGACAGGGAGCCGCAGCAGAGGGATGAAAGAGCCACATGCGGCTCCAGAGCCGTGGGTTGCTGACCCCTGGTGTAAAGAAAAAAAGAATTAGGGGCAACGTGATAGCAGTATTCCAGTATTTGAGGGCTGCCACAAAGAAGCTCAGTCATGTTGAGCTCAGCCGACCCCCAAAATGTTGATGTACCAGGAGATAAACGGGTGAGGTTCCCTAACGCCCCCAAATATTTTTGCTGTGTTCTACAATAGTTACTGAGAACAAATGAAAACACTTCCCAACAACTACTGTGTTGTTGTTGGTAACCTAGACGTTGGCACTTGGCTTTGTAGCATGTCAGCTTCCCTTTATTTCATTAAAGGAAGCTTAGAAAAGAAAGCAATGCAATATATATACAGAGAGAGGGGGGGAGGGAGAGAGAGGGAGGGAGAGGGAGGGAGGGAGAGAGAGAAAGAGAGGGAGGGAGAGAGAAGGAGGGAGGGAGGGAGAGGGAAGGAGGGAGAGAGAGGAGAGAGAGAAAGGGAGGGAGGGAGAGAGAGGGAGGGAGAGGGAGGGAGGGAGAGAAAGAGGGAAGGAAAGAGGGAGAGGGAGGGAGAGAAAAAGAGAGAGAGGGAGGGAGGGAGAGAGAGAGAAAGAGGGGGGAGGGAGAGAGGGAGGGAGAGGGAGGGAGAGAGAGAAAGAGAGGGAGGGAGGAAGAGAGAAAGGGGGGAGGGAGGGAGAGAGAGAGAGAAAGAGGGAGGGAGAGAGGGAGGGAGGGAGAGAGAAAGGGGGAGAGGGAGGGAGGGAGAGAGAAAGAAAGAGGGAGGGAGAGAGAGAGAGAGAGAGAGAAAGAGAGGTAAGGAAAGAGAGAGAGGGAGGGAGAGAAAGAGAGAGAGGGAGGGAGAGAGAGAGGGAGAGAGAGAAAGAGAGGGAAGGAAAGAGGGAGAGAGGGAGGGAGAGAAAAAGAGAGAGGGAGGGAGGGAGGGAGAGAGAGTACCGAGGGAGGTTCTCATAGGCTGTTATCTTCAGGGAGCACACAATATATCCATTTTTAATCCCTTCTTGACAGGTTAAGACCACTTTTGAGAATGTGGATTAAACTCATATCACATGCCTGGCTCAAAATCCAGATTATTGTTGCTTCCTCTGCTCCTATTGTTTATTTTCTTTGAAAGTTATTCAGACAGTTTCCAGAATGTATCTTTTTGTCTGCCTATAAAATACATTTTAAAAAAGAGAAAGCTAATAAATGGAAGTTATTCCTTCAAAAGCTAAGGGGCTTTTCCCATCGTAGATGCACTCCAAATATATGTGGGCTCCACTCTGCCAAATGTTATGGGTCAAGAATTTTGACATTGCTTTCCAGCCTAGGAAAAGTTATAAGCCGAGTTTTAATTGATCTGCCGTTTTGTTTTTGCTTTTTAAACAGCAAACAACGATAGCAGCACAAAATGCACAAATAGTTCATATTTCTATTCCAGGTTATAGGAATATCGACAGCCTTTGCCTGAATTAAGAGTGATAAATAAAAATATTGTAGTCTGCTTACAGCCTAAATCTGATTTAATTTGTCATCCTCTGTGTTATCCCTGCATACAGTGGTGGCCAAAATTGTGGAAACCTTTTGGGAAAAGTGTATTTTTGAGGATTGATGGCTAATAACCCCCTTTTTTTTCTGGAGTTTCAAGATAATCAAATTCCACTGCTGGAATGGCCTGGGAATAGCCCAGACCTTCACCCAACTGAAAATCTATGGAGCCAGCTAAAGAAACTTGTTAGTCAGAAGCGACCCAGCAATAAAACCCAGTTAATAGAAGCCATCATTCAATCTTGGTTTCACATTAGAACAGCTGCAGAACTCAAAGACTTGGTTCACTCCATGGGAAGATGTTGTAAGGCCGTAATTCATGCTAAAGGTTACCCAACTAAGTATTAACTGACGTGGTGATCATTTTTGTATATCTCGTTTTTTCTAGGGTGATCATTTTTGGAGACCTTGTTTTTTCTACGTGTTTCGCTTTTCTTCTTTGTACTTTATACTGTACTTTGTACTTTGTACTGTAACTGCTATTCTAATAGCAAATCCTTCATACAAGTTATTGCATGACATTCTTGATTAAATTATCTTTCCATCGATATATAACTTGATGGTATTACTGCCCCAAAAAAGCGGTATTATTAGCTAGTTTTAGAAAATACACTTTTCCCAAAAGGTTTCCACAATTTTAGCCACTACTGTATGTGAAGAATCTTAGAGGAAAGCGAAACTGAATATGAAACCTGAAGGCCAATTCAACCGTCTGTTGTCTGAAGTTGACATGGTGATATGCCCCACGGAAGCAACTTGCAAACTGCTTTGTGGATTTTCTTTTCTTTCCTTTCCTTTTTTCCCCCCCTTTGAGTCTTAAGCAAGGAACAAGGAACAGAATGGATTTGCTTATTCATGGTTTATTAGATAGTCTCCAGTTGGATGGATTCCTCTAACCACTAAGCTCAGCCTGAAAAAGCAACTTGATGTTGTAACACAATGCGTGTAGCTATCTGTGGGTCACATGACCACAGAGCTCGCGAGTATTTTTTTAAAGAACCGGGGCAGTGCAAGATAACTTGGTGCGCAGAAGGACTGGCCCTCACTCTCTGTGTTTCCCTCTCTTTGCAGAGGGATGCTAGCAGTGCCTCGGAATGCCTTATGTAGACCGTCAGAATCGAATTTGCGGATTCCTGGATATTGAGGATAATGAAACCTGTGGGAAGTTCCTGCGTCGGTATTTCATTCTGGATACCAAAATCAACAGCCTTTTGTGGTACATGGACAATCCTCAGGTGAGCCACTCCCTCTTAAGCATTTTCTTCAGTTCCTAAAAACCCTCGTTCCAAGAGCATTGACTCAGCCTTCCATCCTTCCGAGGTGGGTAAAATGAGGACCCAGATTGTTGGGGCAAGATGCTGTCACTATTAACTGCTTAGAGAGGGCTGTAAAAGCACTGTGAAGTGGTATATAAGTCTAAGTGCTATTGTTATCAATGTCTTATCTCTCTCTGTGTCTATCTCTCTGTCTCTCACTCTGTCTGTCTGTCTGTCTTCTATTCTCTCTATCTATCTATCTATCATCTATGTATCTAGCATCATTATATCTATCTATCTATCTATCTATCTATCTATCTATCTATCTATCTATCTCTATCTATCTAGCTATCTAGCTATCTAGCTATCTAGCTATCTAGCTATCTAGCTATCTAGCTATCATCTATCAATCATAATCTATTAGAATGCTTATTGCAGGCCAATTCAGCTCACTGCCAGGAGTTCAATCCTGACCAGCTGACGGTCGGTAAAATGAGGTGGGTAAAATGAGGACCCAGATTGTTGGGGGCAATAGGCTGACTCTGCAAATCGCTTAGAGAGGGCTGTAAAAGCACTGTGAAGCGGTATATAAGTCTAAGTGCTATTGTTATCAATGTCTTATCTCTCCCTGTGTCTATCTCTCTGTCTCTCTGTCTGTCTGTCTGTCTTCTATTAAATATCTCCCTCCCTCCCTCTCTCTCTCTCTCTCTCTCCTATGTATCTAGCATCATTATCTCTATCTATCTATCTATCTATCTATCTATCTATCTATCTATCTATCTATCATCTATCAATCATAATCTATTAGAATGCTTATTGCAGGCCAATTCAGCTCACTGCCAGGAGTTCAATCCTGACCAGCTGACGGTCGGTAAAATGAGGTGGGTAAAATGAGGACCCAGATTGTTGGGGGCAATAGGCTGACTCTGCAAATCGCTTAGAGAGGGCTGTAAAAGCACTGTGAAGCGGTATATAAATCTAAGTGCTATTGTTATCAATGTCTTATCTCTCCCTGTGTCTATCTCTCTGTCTCTCTGTCTGTCTGTCTGTCTTCTATTAATATCTCCCTCCCTCTCTCTCTCTCTCTCTCCTATGTATCTAGCATCATTATTATCTCTATCTATCTATCTATCTATCTATCTATCTATCTATATCTATCATCTATCAATCATAATCTATTAGAATGCCTTATTGCAGGCCAATTTAGCTCACTGCCAGGAGTTCAATCCTGACCAGCTCAAGGTTGGTAAAATGAGGTCGATAAATGAGGACCCAGATTGTTGGGGGCAAGAGGCTGACTCTGCAAATTGCTTAGAGAGGGCTATAAAAGCACTGTGAAGCGGTATATAAATCTAAGTGCTATGCTATTGCTATTAAGGGAATAGATGAGATGGGTGCAGATGGTTTTTCACCTTTCTCATGGAACCAAGGCCCAGTTACAAACAATATTTCTGCAGACACATGAAAGCATTTAATGCTTGTGGTTTGAAAATTGTAAATGACTTTCTCTGCAAACTGTCTTTCCCCTCAAAATTATTGAAAGATAACAACTGTACTTCAATCTTTAAAATCTTCGGAACGAATGTATGCTCATGTCTATTGTTTGTGAAACAATCTGGAAAATTACCAAAAGATAAATCTATTTGTCTATTTGCGTGACTATAGAATCAACATAAAAGACAAGTCATTATGTCAATCGTCAAATTAGATTTGGATTTAATGGACATTTGGATTTAACAGACACCTTTTCAAACGGTCGATAAATGGAGACTATCTTTTGAATCCTACCCTCTAAATGCACTTAAATAGATCCATGCATAGTTAAACATGTCTACAATGTTTATAGGACATTCATATAAGTGTCAGAGTTTATAACCTATTATCTCTGATAGAGATATTTATGTATGTGTAACCATATAGATAATGTAGGTATGTGATTTACTGTATATGCCAGAAAACAGAAGTAAACCTAATGTATGTATATTTCAGTTTACAGTAAAGCCTTAATTTTATGGATCATTACAAAAGATGTCTTCTTAAATCCAAATGTCTATTAAATCCAAATTGATGTAATTGGCATGATTTGTTCCTTTTGGTAATTTGGTGATTGACATGATGATGTCCATTGAGTCTTATTTACTTCATTTCCAATGATGCAAAATTATGTAAGTGATGCAATTATGTTGATTCTATAGTTATGCAAATGGACAAATGACTGTATCTTTGGGTGATTTCCCAGACTGTTTCAGAAAAAATAGATAGGAACATACAGTCGTGGCCAAACTTGTGGAAACCTTTTGGGAAAAGTGTATTTTTGAGCTTTGATGGCTAATAACACCACTTTTTTTTTTTTTTGGAGTTTCAAGATAATCCTATTCCACTGCTGGAATGGCCTGGGAATAGCCCAGACCTTCACCCAATTGAAAATCTATGGAGCCGACTAAAGAAACTTGTTAGTCAGAAGCGACCCAGCAATAAAACCCAGTTAATAGAAGCCATCATTCAATCTTGGTTTCACATAATAACTGCTGCAGAACTAAAAGATTTGGTTCACTCCATGGGAAGACATTGTGAGGCCATAATTCATGCTAAAGATTACCCAACTAAGTATTAACTGACATGGTGATGATTTTTGTAGATCTCGTTTTTTCTACGTGTTTCACTTTTCTTCTTTATACTGTAAAGAATAGCTGTTCTAATAGCAAATCCTTCATGAAAGTTATTGCATGACATTCTTGATTAAATTATCTTTCCATGGATATCTAATTTTAGGGTACTACTCCAAAAAAGAAAAAGTGGTGTTATTAGCTAGTTTTAGAAAATACACTTTTCCCAAAAGGTTTCCACGATTTTGGCCACTACCGTACATTAATTCTGGAGATTTTAAAGATCAAAGTACAATTGAAACCAGATGTTTTCTTTTAGGAGTCATGGAACTTTCTTTCATATACGACAACTGCAGTGAAATAATTACATGCTCAAAAGTGGAAAGTGCAAATAAATAAATAAATAACGATAGAAAGGAGAAACTTCTGATTTCTTTTGCAGCAAATGTAAGTGTGATTACAAACTTATCTCTTATTTTAGGATTATCAAAAAAAAAAAGCCTTCTCCTTTTTTTTCTGTCATCTAATTTTTTCCCCCTAATAATCAAAACTGAAAGTCATAAGTGTATTATTTTCTGTTTTATGCAAAAAGTCTGTAAGGGCTTTGTAGGCAGCCATGAATAATTGTCTTTTCTCTAATCGAGGAAACCAATTTAGCCTCTTCACCAACCGTTCCTCTATTGTGGGTAGTATCAATTTTTTTTTCATTTTTGAGCGTACAGTCATCTAGCTGCAGCTGTCATGTATTTTTTTTTAAAAAGCAAAAAAAAGCCAATGCAATCCTAAATTGCATTAAGAGAGAGATTCAATCAAGATCAAGTGAAGTGCTAATACCACTCTATAAAACCTTAGTAAGATCACACCTAGAATACTGCATCCAGTTTTAGTCACCACACTATAAAAAAAAGATGTTGAGACTCTAGAAAGAGTGCAGAGAAGAGCAACCATGATGTTTAGGGAACTGGAGGCTAAAACATACGATGAACAGTTGCAGGAACTGGGCATGGCTGGTCTAGTGAAGAGAAGGATCAGGGGAGACATGATAGCAGTCTTCCAATATTTGAGGGGCTGCCACGGATAGGAGGGGGTCAAGCTATTTTCCAAGGCTCCTGAAGGCCAGACAAGAAATAATGGATGGAAACAAGGAGAGATTTAACCTGGAAATAAGGATAAATTTTCTGACAGTGAGAACTGATGGAACAGAAGTTGCCTTCAGAAGTTGTGGGAGCTTCATCATTGGAAGCTTTCAAGAAGAGACTGGACTGCCATCTGTCAGAAATGGTGTAGGGTCTCCTGCTTGAGTGGAGGGTTGGACTAGATGACCTACAAGGTCCCTCCCAGTTCTGTTAATCTGTTAAAAATGTGGCTCTAAGAAGGGACATGACTCTGTTAATCTGTAAATCTGTAAAAAGTTCATGGCTTTTTTATTTTTTTTAGCTGTCTGCCCATTAAGGTCAAAAGAAAAGTCTCTAGTTTCAATTGTACATTCATCTGTAAAATCTTCTGAATGAGTGTACATATTTACTGATTGCACATCCAAACATTTTTGGGCTCTTTTACACGTCCACCATAAATGATAACATGTCCCTTCATGGTAATCCCGCATTCCTACTGAGAAAATCCAAGCCGGTGGTTTTCTCTGACTCATCTCATCTACCTTCGTCTGTCTGAGCATCTTGGCAAGAAAACCGCAGCAAAATATTTTTATCTGAGAAGTCGCACCTTTCCCCCTCTGGGAGGGACTGAATGGGGGCTTATTCGTTCAACTTGAGAAAAAAAAAGAGCACAGCAAAGTACCATCTTCAGTATTTACCAGCTTTTAGCTACAGCAGGTACTCCTCGATTTACAACCGCAAGTGACCCTAAAATTTCTGTTGCTAAGCGAGACAGTTAAGTGAGTTTTGCCCCATTTTACACCGCCTTGCTTAGCTAAACAGAAATTCTGATCCCAATTGTGATAGCAATCGCACTTAGACTTATATACCGCTTCACAGGGCTTTACAGCCCTTTCTCTAAGCGGTTTACAGAGTCAGCCTCTTGCCCCCCAAAATCTGGGTCCTCGTTTTACCCACCTCGGAAGGATGGAAGGCTGAGTCAACCTTGAGCAGGTCAGGATCGAACTGCTGGCAGTTGGCAGAGTTAGCCTGCAATACTGCATTCTAACCACTGTGCCACCTGGAAGAAGAATGAGAAAGGGAATAAGGGAGGACGGGAGGATGGAAGGAAGGCAGGGAAGAAAGAAGGAAGGAAGGAAGGAAGGAAGGAAGGAAGGAAGGAAGGAAGGAAGGAAGGAATGAATAGCACTTGGAGTTATATACTGCTTCAAGTATTTTCCAGCCCTCTCTAAGCGGTTTAAAGAGTCAGCCTATTGCCCCCCAATGATCTGGGTCCTCGTTTCACTGACCTTGGAAGGATGGAAGGCTGAATCAACCTTCAGCCGGTCAGGATCGAACTGCTGGCAGTTGGCAGAGTTAGCCTGCAATGCTGCATTCTAACCAGTGCTCCATCATGGCTCCTGTCGCGATTGTTAAATGAATCACTGCAATTAAGTTAATAACATGGTTGTTGAGTGAATCAGGCTTCCTGATTTACTTTGCATGTCGGAAGATTGGAAAAAGAGATGACATAACCCTGGAACTGTTATAAATGTGAATCAGTTGCAAAGCGTCTGAATTTTTGACCATGTGGTCATGGGGATGCTGCAACGGTCATAAGTGTGAATAACAATCATAAGTCCCTTTTTTAGTTCTGTTGTAACTTTGAATAGTCACTACATGAACTGTTATTAAGTTGAAGACTATCTATATCTCAGACAGGCCTGGTAGCCTAAGTACTGTGTTTCCCTGAAAATAAGACCCTGTCTTATATTTTTTTTTCAACCGCGAAATAAGTACTTGGCCTTATTTTTGAGGAAGTCTTATTATTTTGGGGCGCGTGGAGGAAACCAGAGGAAATGGCGGAGACCGGCTGCACACGCGTTGAAATATTTTTGGGGAGGACTTATTTTCATGGGGAGGGGGGGGCTTATTTTAGTGCATGCGCTCAAAAGCCCGATTGGGCTTATTATCAGGGGATGTCTTATTTTAGGGGAAACAAAAAAAATCTGGAATGAACGGAAAAGTTTTTGTATTTGCAAAAGCTGAACTTGCAAAATGGTGAGCAGCCCCCAGAGTTCTCCGTAAAGCATCTTCATAAAAAAAAGGGGTGATCATTTTAAACCTGATCCAAAAAATACCTTACATTGCTATTTTCAGGATTCTCAACTCTAAGCAACCATTGCTGTGGAAAAATGAGAATTGTCTAAAAATCAGTGATTCTCAATGTTGACAACTTTAAGATAGCTGAACTTCAAATCCCAGAATTCCCAAGGGAGTTGAAGTCCACCCAATTTAAAGTTGCCAGGTTGGAAAAACACTGGTTAAAGAATTTAACTTTCTTGGCAATAGCACTCCAATTTTTCTACTCATTTTCCCCTGTGGAGTAGCTAGGGAAGGGAAGCTTTACCTTGGGTGAGTTAAAGAGTGCACAGTGCAGTTCTATGAAAGAAAGAGTTAAAGTGATTATCGGAGGTGAAAAAATTAAGGGCTGTGTACCTAGATGCAAAGTTGCAATGATGGTCTCAGAAGACCAGAACAATGGCCAGACCAAGGTATGACTCTAGACCAGGGGTCCCCAACTTTGGCAACTTTAAGACCTGTTGAACTTCAAGTCCCAGAATTCTGGAAGTTGAAGTCCACAAGTCTTAAAGTTGCCAAGGTTGAAGACCCCAGCTCTAGACCAGACAATTTCACATTGCAGATAAAGTGGGATAGATTCAGTGGTGAAATTCAAAAATTTTCCCTACCGTTCTGTGGGTGTGGCTTTGTATGGGGGGTATCATGTGACTGGGTGGGTGTGCCAACTTTTAAAAAACTTTTAAAAATATTTTTTAACTAAAAAGTTTTTAAAAAGTTCCGACGATCAGCTGTGACTATCAGCTGTGCTGCGCGATCCTCGGAACCTTTTTCTTTTTTTACTTTTTTAAAACATTTTTTACTAACGGTTCGGGCGATCCGGCCTGAACCAGTAGCATTTCACCCCTGGATAGATCTTAGATAAAGTGGGATAAGTAGGATAGATTTTAGATAAAGGGGGATAGATCTTAGATAAAAGAGTATAGATCTTAGATAAAGTGGGACAGATCTTAGATAAAGGGGATAGATCTTAGATAAAGTGGGATAAGTAGGATAGATTTTAAATAAAGTGGGATAAATCTTAGATAAAAGGGGATAGATCTTAGATAAAGGGGGATAGATCTTAGATAAAAGAGTATAGATCTTAGATAAAAGGGGATAGATCTTAGATAAAGTGGGACAGATCTTAGATAAAGTGGGATAGATCTTAGATAAAAGAGTAGATCTTAGATAAAGTGGGACAGATTTTAGATAAAGGGGGATAGATCTTAGATAAAAGAGTATAGATCTTAGATAAAGTGGGACAGATCTTAGATAAAGTGGGATAGATCTTAGATAAAGTGGGATAAGTAGGATAGATCTTAGATATAAAGTGGGATAAATCTTAGATAAAAGGGGATAGATCTTAGATAAAGGGGGTATAATCTTAGATAAAGTGGGATAAGTAGGATAGATCTTAGATAAAGTGGGATAAGTAGGATAGATTTTAGATAAAGGGGGATAGATCTTAGATAAAAGGGGATAGATCTTAGATATAAAGTGGATAGATCTTAGATAAAGTGGGATAGATCTTAGATAAAAGGGGATAGATCTTAGATAAAGTGGGATAGATCTTAGATAAAGGGGGACAGATGTTAGATAAAGTGGGATAGATCTTAGATAAAGTGGGATAGATCTTAGATAAAGGGGGACAGATCTTAAATAAAGTGGGATAGATCTTTCGACAGCCATCCTTCACTTCTTGAAAAAGCTGAAGTGCAAACAATGAATACCGCAGGTCCAACTCCAGGGAGTGTAGCTAATGAACTGAAGTTCTGACTTTCCATTTTATTTTTGCGGATGATAAAGCCATCACTACATCTTGTGTTACTGCCAAGAAAACTGTTGGGTGTTCAGAAGGTCAGGAACAATTCAGCTCGATTTGAAAGAGACGTCGCCTTTCACTTCCAAATAAGCCAAAGGAGAACTCCACCCCTGTGATGGACTGTTGATTATTTATTTATTTTTTGACTTTTATTTCAGAATCTGGCTGTAGGCTCAAAAGCAGTAGGATCTCTACAACTGACCTACATCTCTAAGGTAAGACTAAAACAGAGTTTTGGATTGTCATCGTTGTCCCCCCCGGGAACCGATTGTTAGTCCTGATGTTTTCCTGCATTTCTGGTCCTCATAATTCTTGTTCTCGATTCTTTTAAAGTTCCACCTCTTTGCCTCCTAATCAAACAAATATAGAACTCAATAAGGAGAACGTTTGGCCAGGATGGATAGGTGTCTCATGAGCACAGGTCTTTTCATTTCTGACATGGAGCTGAGGTAAGCATGAAGCAACAATGGGAAAAGTGCATATGTTTCTTAATAAAACCTATTTGTCGGAAATGGGTGATTATTGGTGGCCCATAGGCTAATCCTTACCCATCCAACTGATGAGCTGTTGTGGCCTCTCAGCTGCCGGCCCCTCCAGCAGCTGAATCAGAGGAGGAGGAGGTGGCGTGGGAGTCAGGGTCAGCATCAAGGCAACCTGAGAGATCCGAGGGGGAAGAGGGACTGGAGCTGGCAGAGAGAGAGAGAGAGAGAGAGAGAGGCGGAGCTTCGGCCGTCCATCAGCCCTCAGATGGAGAGTCAACAGCCCCCAGGTCTGGAGGTGGCTGATCAGGAAGAGGAGAAACAGCTGGGTCCAGTGCCTCACGTGTGGATGCGCAGAGGAGAGGAGAGCAGTGGAAATCTGTGGGCCGGTCCTTGGGACGGAAGAGCCACCGCTGCTAGCGAAGCCCCACCCTAGCTCTGGGGATAAAAGGCAGGGGGTGGAAATGAATAGATGTGGCAGACAACTATTCATCTCCCTGCCAGATGGACTTGTTACAGTGGTGGGTTCCGCCCGGTTCCACCGAGCCGGTAGCGGTGATGATATGACATCACCGAACTGGTTCTGCCCCCCCGCCTCCCGCCTCCTCGTGTTATTCTTACCTTTTATTTGGCCCCACTCCCAATCTGTTGCTGCCTCCTGAGTCCCAGCTGATCGGCTAGAAGGAAAAAAACTGTTTAAACTCTTGCTGCAGGGCTTCAAAGGGCCGCCCTACAGCTGATCAGTGTTAAAAGGCAGTGTGGTGGTAGACCGGTGCCTCCCAAAACAAATGAGTAGACCGGTGCCTCCAAAAACAAATGAATAGACCAATGCCTCCAAAAACAAATGAGTAGACCAGTGCTTCCAAAAACAAATGAGTAGACCGATGCCTCCAAAAACAAATGAATAGACCAATGCCTCCAAAAACAAATGAGTAGACCGATGCCTCCAAAAACAAAGGAATAGACCAATGCCTCCAAAAACAAATGAGTAGACCAGTGCCTCCAAAAACAAATGAGTAGACCGGTACAGCTCTGCAAGCAGTTAAAAGCCTGGTAGACCAGTACCACTGCTAAATCCTAAAGAATTGTCACATGACCATCAAGCCATGCCCACAAAATAAGCCACGCCCACATAACCAGTAGTAAAAAAATTTAGAACCCACCCCTGACTTGTTAGCCTGCTGTGAGAGAGAAACTTTTTGCTGGGGCTGCTGGCGCTCCTAATAATGGAATCTTTGAGTTAACTTTAGAGGGTTTGTCGTGTTCGGAGAGTTGGGTCAGAAACATGAGCAACCTCAATCTGACTAGCTCCAATTGAGGTTCTTCATCAGTTTGATGGTTAAGGATCAACCTATTGGTAGTGAAGCTAAAAAATAAATGGCCAACATGCATGAATTTGTTGGAGCTGATTTTTGCTATTTTTATCCTGCCACGAACTCCGTAGAGGTAGAGGCGATAAAAAGAGTGAGCAAATAAGTTGAGGAGAAAAAGAATTGGAGGAGAAGGAAGTCCTAGGTCCGTGATGGCAAACCTATGGCACAGGTGCCATAGGTGGCATGCAGAGCCATATTGGTGGGCATGCAAGTGTTGCCCTAGCTCAGTTCCAGCGCACATGCGCACCCCAGCCAACTGATTTTCAGGCCTTCCGGTCCCACCAGAAGTCGGCAAACTGGCTGTTTCCGGCCTCCGGGGGGATGGAGAAGGCTGTTTTTGCCCTCCCCAGGCTCCTAGAAAGCCTCTGGAGCCTGAGGAGGGAGAAAAACGGGCCTACTGGGCCCACTGTGTCATCTTGTGCCAAAAGCAGGGGGAAGTGTGGGGAGGGGGGTCACATGCACATGCGCAGGAGGGCGGGGCGCATTGAATTATGGATGCGGGCACCCGCACCCGCGACCCCCCACGCTCCCCCCACTTTTGGCACGCGATGGCAAAAAGGTTAGCCATCACTCTCCTAGGCCACTAGACCTGTTCTTTGGGCTGAGTTAATTCTCTCTCCAGCTTTTCACCTCATTGCTCCATAACTGGCTTTGGTTATAGTCTGAACTCTTTCTTAAATTAGTGGCAGAAGGTTTGGCCACCCTCTCTAGGTGCAACAGGACTGGGATGTTGATGTTGGCAGGAGAGAGAATGTTGTGCTCTCCAATTCATAAAGAGCCTGTCTCGGTCAGGCCAGGACCACTTGTTAAGTTCCAGTTAAGCTGATTTATTGCTCATGCCTATACACAAGAATCTAGTTAACTCAGGGGTCGGCAACCTTAAACACTCAAAGAGCCACAAAGGTCCTAACTGGAAGCCCCCCGTTCAATTCTGAAGCCGACCGGAAGTCCGGTTTCCCCACCATAGAATCTTCTTCTAGCGCGGCGTCCTTTTTCCTCTACCTGTCCTAACTGAACGCCCTATCAGTTGTGGAGCTGACTGGAAAACCTGCCCCTTGCCATAGAGTCTTTTCCTGGTGCGCTGTGCTTTTCCTCCCCATAACCGGAAGCTCCTCTCAAAATTGTGGCGGCGACAGGGAACCGCAGCAGAGGGATGAAAGAGCCACATGCGGCTCCAGAGCCGAGGGTTGCTGACCCCCGAGTTAACTAATAGTCAGCGCTACATTGGTACTAGATAAAGAATTAACAGAATTCTAGAGGGGTTGGACTGTGGGAACCTAATGACTCCAGACTAATTCCTCTCTTGACTCCACCCTCTTTGCCTTACAATCTCCTTTCTAAAACCAACCAACACCGCGGGCAACCACATCAGCAGCCCATTTCCATTTGCTTTCTTTGCAGGTCAGTGTGGCTCCCCCCAAACAAAAGCCGAAAACACCACACTGTTTTGGTAAGTTTTAATTGGGGGTGGGTGGGAGGGGAGGACTGTCTTTCACTGGACAGGAACACATTTGGTCCTTCTTTTGAAGAACTGATTTTGGGAAAGATTTTTCAATGATGAAAGGGATGATTTGGAGCTAAAGAGTTGCTTTTTGTCCCATAAGTCTCTCCAACAGGCAAATGTGGCTGAGTTTGGGGAGGTTAGCTTTAAGGGTTGCTGATCTTTATAAGTGCCTCTAGCCTACAGCCCACCGGCCAGTACGCTCGCACAGGGAGGGCCTCCTCAGGGTGCCGTCCGCCAGACAATGTCGGCTGGCGACCCCCAGGGGGAGAGCCTTCTCTGTGGCGGCACCTGCCCTCTGGAACGACCTCCCCCCAGAGATACGCACGATACCAGACCTCCGGACTTTTCGTCGGGCCCTGAAAACTCATTTATTTCACCTAGCCGGGCTGGCTTGATCCGATCCGTTTCGGTTTTAATTTGAAATTGGTTTTAATTGGGTTTTTTAAATTGTGGGCCGAAATTATTTAATTACCTTTTAAACTGTTTTTTTTAATTTTGTATGCTCTGTTTTATCTCGGCTGTTCACCGCCCTGAGTCCTGCTAGAGAAGGGCGGTATACAAATTAAATAAATAAAATAAAATAAAAATGTGTTTTCTCCTGACGGCCCCCTCCCCTCAATAAAATGATCAGATCTGAAATGTTCAGCCCTGCTTGCTCTGCTCTTGGAGAGCTGCAGATGAGATGCTATGTGTAGGACATGGACCGGGAGTTGTCCATCTTTAATGCAAGTCATGGATGAAGATTGGAGAACACCTTTGTGGCACCCTTTAGAGCAGAACTTTGGCTTCAACAGGCACAGATGAGGAGGAATTTATTTATTTTATTTATTTATTAGTCATATTTCTATGCTGCCCACTCTCCGGGGACTCTGGCCGGCTTACACCAAAGACAGTATACTAAATAGCATATAGCCCCCAACTGATCTGTCCCCGTCCACACACACACACAAACACAGCCAGCCGAGGGTTAAGAAAGCACTTGGCACGCACACAGGTCGTTATCTCAAACTTGGCAGCAATATAATCACCGTCTGCCAAGAGTTTTTACTGCAACAGATAACATAAAATTACATACACATTGCAAATAGTCCAGCAAAAACAATATCCCTTTCGGCAGCTTCAGACATTGTTCAAGTGACTAGCCAAAGTTCGTTTTTGTTCGTCACGGAGTTTTACCAGCCACCACCCTCTCTTATATAGTCTCTGGGGTGTGGTCCAGTGACTCAGTTCTAATCCCTAGCACGCCTCCTTAACTGCTGCAACCGTTTATCACGCCTTCGTTGGCGTGCATCCAGGAATGACGGCTCTCCTTCCTCGCTCTCATCCGAGACACCTGGCTCCTGGCTAATCTCCTCTCCCTCGGCCGACACCTGAGACAGTGCCAGAGGGGAGGGGCCTGGAGAGGGAGGCCTGGCTGACTCCTCTTCCTCATTTTCGGAGCTTTCTTCCTCCGATGAGATAGGCTCAGAGGGCGGGGCCACAACACCAACAATCTGGGTCCTCATTTTACCCACCTCGGAAGGATGGAAGGCTGAGTCAACCTTGAGCCGGTGAGATTTGATCCGCTGATCTGCTGAACTAGCAGTCAGCTGAAGTAGCTGCAGTACTGCACTCTAACCACTGTGCCATCTCAGCTCTTGAATTGAATCCCAAACACATTTTGCTCTTCAAATCCAGAGCATCGGACAAGTACATTCACTTCTTACTTGAGAAGCGACATTGGGTGATGTCGGTGGCTTTTCAGCTGCACCAATTTAGGAATCAAAAGGAGATCTGAGCACTCTTGGTTTTTTGCAGAAAGGGAGGGAAAGGGTAAAAAGGCCGTCTTCAAGTTGAGTTCAATTCTTGGGGGACATCTTTACAGAAGTTTTAAAAAGTGTAATGAGGAAGTGGGTCACCATCTCCTTTTAAAATGATGACGCATAACACTGCAATCTAGCTTGGTGCATGGGATTTCCCTGTGGCTTCCTACCCAAGTGGTCAACTGATGTGACCTTACCTCCTTTCATGAGGATCAGCCAAGGTCAGTAAGTTGTTGCCACCCAGCTGGGCTCACAAGGGAAGGCTTACAGATATCATTTTGACCTTGTGGTAGATCCGTGATAGATCTCTTCCAAATGAGGACCACTGGGTCTTGATCCTCATGGCATAACTTAAGAGATGGATTTCCACTAACTTAGCCTAGCTTTGCACAGGAAGAAGAAATTAAAGCCTAAGAAGAAAGAAGTGTTTCATCAGAGCCTCAAGGCCTCCTGTTCTTCTACTTTAAGGAGAAGTGACTGAGATGGATTAGACAGTAGGATTGAAGTGAACATCTTCAGACAGGAAGCCCTGGGGAATTAGGGAGGAAGTGACAGAACCACACGAGATGGAGCTGGTTGGCTGCCTTTGTCCTTCCCAAACAATGTATGATTCTATTACTCCGATTTCTTTCTTTCTTTTCTACCTCTTTAAGCTTTGAAGTATATATGTACTACCAAGAGCCTTGGTAGTACAGTGGTCTAAGGCACCCTGTTATTAAGCTGGTTATTAAGACCTGCTGCCTGCAATTACTGCAGGTTCGAATCTCGCCAAGGCTCAAGGTTGACTCAGCCTTCCATCCTTTCTAAGGTAGGTAAATTGAGGACCCAGTTTGTGGGGGCAATAAGCTGACTTTGTATAAATATACAAAAGGATGAAGGCTATTGCTGAGCACATTGTAAGCCGCCCTGAGTCTCCGGAGAAGGGCGGCATATAAATCAATTTTTTTTAAAAAAAAATTATTTATTTATAAAACTTTATAGGCTGCCCATCTTACTTCAAGGTAACCCTGGGCAGCTTACAATCATAAAAAAACCCACCAAAATTATATAAACTAAAAACATAAATAAGTGAATACAAAATACCAATTGATGAACATATCTTTTCTTTTATGTACTCCGAGAGCATATGCACCAAGATAAATTCCTTGTGTGTCCAATCACACTTGGCCAATAAAGAATTGTATTGTATTGTATTGTATTGTATTGTATTGTATTGTATTGTATTGTATTGTATTGTATTGTATTGTATTGTATTGAATTCTATTCTATTCTATTCTATTCTATTCTATTCTATTCTATTCTATTCTATTCTATTCTATTCTATTCAAACACAACGGCCCAATTAAAAGATGGGGAGGACGGGACCAGGATGGTGGGGAGGTGAGATCTGTTGCCAATCAATCGCCCACCTCCACTGTGATATCTCCCCCATTGGAGCCAGATGCTAACTGGCAGAACCCATTATTACATGGAATTACATGGAAATATCAGCAAACCTGAGCTGGAGGGAGAGGCTGATCTAGTAGTCAGCCTGTTAGAGGAAATTGCCGTATTTTCAGAAGAACATGCCAAACTACAGTAGTGGCCAAAATTGTCAGAACCTCTTGGGAAAAGTGTATTTTTGAGGTTTGATAGCTAAAAGCACCACCTTTTTTTTTGGAGTTTCAAGATAATCCTATTCCACTGCTGGAATGGCCTGGGAATAGCCCAGACCTTCACCCAATTGAAAATCTATGGAGCCAGCTAAAGAAACTTGTTAGTCAGAAGCGACCCAGCAATAAAACCCAGTTAATAGAAGCCATCATTCAATCTTGGTTTCACATGATAACAGCTGCAGAACTAAAAGACTTGGTTCACTCCATGGGAAGACGTTGTAAGGCCGTAATTCATGCTAAAGGTTACCCAACTAAGTATTAACTGACATGGTGATCATTTTTTTTTAAAAAAAAAATATCTTTATTAAATATTTACAGTAAAATTAACCCATAATAATGATTGGAAAACAATATAAGAAATGAAATGTAGGAACACATAAACACAAGACTAAAACGAAACAACAAACATGACTAACCGAGAGTTAAACTCACTCTCCAATTAATATTAACTAATATCATCCTAACCAAACATGATCATTTTTGTAGATCTTGTTTTTTTCTACGTGTTTCTCTTTTCTTCTTTATACTGTAACTGCTGTTCTAATAGCAAATCCTTCATAAAAGTTATTGCATGACATTCTTGGTTAAATTAACTTTCCATTGATATATAATGTTAGGGTACTACTCCCCAAAAAAGTGGTGTTATTAGCTAGTTTTAGAAAAATACACTTTTCCCAAAAGTTTCCACAATATTGGCCACTCCTGTATGTTGAAATATAAAGAGGTGTTCCATCTCCATCTTCCAGAGACAGCCTGGGCAACGTCCCTGCTTATTCAGGAGCCGCAGATGGGACGGCTAGAAGTGGTCGGCGGGAAGGCAGATAAGTGGTAGAATACAACGGTTAAGGAGTAAACCTTATCGTGTTTTGCAAGGGAAACATGGCTTGTTTTCAGACCTTCTGGGATAAGCGCCCAGTTCTAATAGCAACAACCATATCTAAATGAGATTGCACTTGGACAGAAATAATGCCCTTTGGAACCAAGGAAGCTCCTTTGCAAAGTTGGCCCACCAATCAAAGGAAAAGGAGAGCTTGCTAAATAATAATAAAACGGGGGTGTATTCAAGGTTATACTTTTCACCCCATTCTGTGGTTTTCAGTTCACCTAGCTCCCTTTCCTTAATTGGGCAATCATTCTGTAGCACGTCTCCTTGGTGGAAATAACTTTTTTCTCAATCGACATGCTGCCACCCCCTGTTTTAAACTGGAACCGTCTTTCTCCTTAATTCTAGTTACAGACCAAGCATGGAAAACCTCTTCATCTTTCCCTGTAACTGAATGGAAACAAATCATTTTATGCAAGAGCTGGTAGCTGAGCAATGAGTAGAACGAAGGGGATAAGGACTGTCCCTAAATGAGAAGGTCAAGAAGCATATAGAATATTTAATTTTATTAATGCGAAGGTTGGCACACCCGCCCTATATTTTGCAGGCAAAAGTTAACGAAAATGTCAACCTGGTGTGTTCGGTGGAAATATAAATCGAATGCCCCCGATTTATCGTTTTCTCAGGCATAAAATAATCATCTCACAGGCATTTCGGCGATGCAGCGGACTAAGTGCTGTTAAGTGCTAGCACTTAGCTGCCAGCTGCCTGCAATTAGTGCGAGTTCAAATCTCACCAGGCTCGAGGTTGACTCAGCCTTCCATCCTTTCGAGGTAGGTAAATTGAGGACCCGGATTGTGGGGGCAATAAGCTGACTTTGTATAGAACAACACCGCTTGGGGGGGCCCCAAAAGCCCTAATAAGCAGGTATATATATAAAAGTATGCAAGCTATTATTATAATGCATTGTAAGCCGTCCTGAGTCTACGGAGAAGGGCGGCATATAAATTGGACTAATAAATAAATAAATTTCCTGCAGTCAAGAATCGGCGAAGATCCTTGCTCTTAGTTTGAGGCATACAATTAGGAACGGCATGTGGTTTTCAAAAGGCTTTGGTTGCAGCCCTGAAGGGGGAAAAAAAACCCTCCTCAAGTTATTAAATTGTCTTTTATATATATATATATGGCAGGAGATATGTATTAAATGCATAACTCATTTGTTGCTTTAAGTAGCTGGGCACAATAGCTCTCTCCTCTCCTCTGAAGAACTGTGCTGTTGGATCTCAGCAGCAAAATTTGGCAAAGCTCTCAGGATCACAAAAATGGGCCTTTGAACTCATCCTCTGGAAAGTAATGTATAGTAAAGTTAAATGAATTAAGAAGAGAAGTGTTATGATAATGGAAATGTTAGGTACTGTGTTTCCCCGAAAATAAGACCCTGTCTTATATATATTTTTTGAACCCCAAAATAAGCGCTTGGCCTTATTTTTGGGGAGCTCTTATTATTTTGGGAAGTGGAGCAAGATGGGGCTCTTCTTGCCGTCTTACCTGATTTCCAGCTCTGCATTTAAATATTTTGGGGAGGGCTTATTTTTGGGGGGAGGCTTATTTTAGCGCATGGCTCAAAAGCCCGACTGGGCTTATTATCAGGGGATGTCTTATTTTTGGGGAAACAGGGTATTAAGTATTAATATTAAACTACGGTAAGACTCGATATAGATAATGAATATGGTGGCAAGCTTTAACTGTTATGACACAAAAAATTTGTACCCAGACGACACAGTGTTTAATGAATTTATTTTATTTATTTATTTTATTGGTTCGATTTATATGCCGCCTTTCTCCAGAGACTCAGGGCGGCTTACAATGCGTTAAGCAATAGCCTTCATACTTTTGTATATACCTGCTTAGTAGGGCTTTCAGCCCCCTCTAAGCGGTGTTCTTTTTTTATATATATACAAAGTCAGTTTATTGCCCCCACAATCCAGGTCCTCATTTTATCTACCTCGAAAGGATGGAAGGCTGAGTCAACCTTGAGCCTGGTGAGATTTGAACTTGCAGTAAATGCAAGCAGCTGGTGCTACTTAACAGCACTTTAGTCTGCTGCGCCACCAAGAATGATGTACATATATATTTATATCTATATCTATCTATCTATCTATCTATCTATCTATCTGTCTGTCTGTCTATCTATCTATCTATCTATCTATCTATCTATCTATCTATCTTGAAGAACTCAAGAAGAATATGGCTCCTTCTACCCTGTTTCCCCAAAAATACGACGTACCCTGAAAATAAGCCCTAGCTTGATTTTTACATGTGCACCCAATATAAGCCCTATCCCCAAAATAAGCCCTAATTAAGATCCCGCCCACTCCAGGATGCAGCTGGCAAGGCTGGCAAAGCTTTCCTGAAGACCTCTGTAGCTGATAACAAAGCTCCAGATTGATTTGGAGTGTTGTTATCGGCTGCAGAAGCCTTCAGGAAAGTGTTGCCGGCCGCAGAAGAAGAAGTTCCTGAAGGCCTCTGAAAGCAAAAAGGAGGCTGGAGGTGACGTACGCAGGTGAGATTAGTCAGTGGATGACATCCCCCCAAAATAAGACCTGGGGCCTTTTTTGGTGGCAATAAAAATATAAGACAGGGTCTTATTTTCGGGGAAACATAGTAGAATCTGGGAGGTGGCTACTGAGGACAACCATGCACCCTCTTTGAAGTGATGCACAGCTCTTGACCACGATCTTTTATATCTGCAGTTATCAACGCCTTGTCTCAGCGCTATGTCTTGCAAGCAAATGACCAAAAAGATCTCCAAGACTGGGTGGAAGCGTTGAACACCGCCAGCAAGATTACGGTAGGTCTTCTCTTGCATCAGCTGGGCTTCCCAAGCAGTCTTCCACTAAAACATCCTCAGGGGAAGAGAGAGAGAAGGTCGTTTTATCTGGATGAGGGTTGTTATCTTACGGCTGGTCTCCTTGTGAATTCTTTTCAGGAATTGGATCGGCTTTGTGCCGGGAATGGGGATACGGGTGGAAATTAGGAGGAACTGGCAGGATAAATTACAAAAGAGGATGAGAGCTTAGATAATGACCCCAATCAAGGCATCAAAGCTAAGTCTAACTAACTGTAACTGTAACTGAACAAGGAGAGATTCAACCTGGAAATAAGGAGACATTTTCTGACAGTGAGAACAATCAACTGATGGAACAGTTTGCCATCAGAAGTTGTGGGAACTTCATCACTTGAGACTTTCAAGAAGAGACTGGACTGCCATTTGTCAGAAATTGTGTAGGGTCTCCTGCTTGGGCGGTGGGTTGGACTAGATGACCTACAAGGTCCCTTCCACCTCTGTTAATCCGTTAAACCCTAATTTGGAATCCAGTCATGGTTGAAGCTTCCATATGGAGAAAACCAGGGGTGAAATCCAAACTTTTTCCCTACCGGTTCTGTGGGCGTGGCTTGGTAGGCATGGCAGGAGAAGGATATTGCAAAATCTCCATTCCCACCCCACTCCAGGGGAAGGATACTGCAAAATCTCCATTCCCACCCCACTCTGGGGCCAGCCAGAAATTGTATTTGTCGGTTCTCTGAACTACTCGAAATTTCCGCTACCGGTTCTCCAGAACCAGTTAGAACCTGCTGGATTTCACCCCTGGAGAAAACCACTGCTTAGAACTGTCCATCTTGTCCCTTTCCATCTGTTTAGTATTTTCCGTGAGGCCCTGGTTTTGGGGCCAGAATACCAACTGCCTTTAGGGCTACTATCTGCCCCTCGTCCTCTGCATATGTGATTCAATTCCCTTGCAGTTGTTGGGGAGAAGTAGGGTTTAAAATTCTTCCGCTGAAACATGAAAGGAAGGGCTGAAATAATAGTATTTTCTTCCAGGTGAGACTGGAACTCCAAAACGGAGTTCTGTCTCAAAAGTGATGTTTTCTGGCTGAAATGAGTCCTACTGCCAGTTCTGAGATACAGCTTGGTCTAATTTCCCATGGAAAACTCAGATCTGAAAATTGAGTATGTTTTGGGCTTTTCAGACAACGGGGAACATGAATATGTGTTTCTTCTGCAAATCTGAGCTCTGTGTGAAAAGTTACATTTTCTGGCTGAATTGAGGCCTACCGCCAATTCTGAGATACAGGTTGGTCTAATTTCCCATGGAAAGCTCAGATCTGAAAATTGAGTATGTTTTGGGCTTTTCAGACCCTGTGTAACATGAATATGTGTTTCGTTTGCAAATCTGAGCTTTGGGTCAAAAGTGAAGTTTTCTGGCTGAATTGAGTCCTTCAGCTTGGTCTAACTGCTCAATGTTGTAACCTATCTCGGCCACTTGTGAAACGAGAAGTTAGACTGTTACAGGTTTACTTCCCGTTTCTGCAGGTGACTTCCTTTTGAATTAGCCAAGCTTGACTTTTCACAATTGCGACTCCAGAGTGATGAATCGGAGAGACGTTTGGCTAGTCAAGCCAAAACAGAACTGATAGATAACATTGGCTGGGCTTATACAGCACAGGAAGTCATCATGATCATCCACACATTTCATCTGATGCTCCACTAATCATTTCTGGAGGACACAGATGTCTGATGTCATCCTTCACTTGTCGTTGGCCAGCCGCAAGGACAGCTGCTGCCTTTTTTGTTGTTGTTGTTGTTCTGCATCAAAGATGGTATTCTCCAACTTCTGCAATCCTTTATTTTGTTGAAGGCAGGATCTCCACCAGCGGTGGGCTTCAAAAATTTTAGCAAGGGGTTCTCTGCTAGTCGGCCTCCTGCACCATGGCGGGGGGGTGGGGTGGCGTTTTTGCCCTCCCCGGGCTCCAGAGGCTTTTCTCGAGCCTCCGGGAGGACCAGTTCTGACCTTCCCAAACTTCCAGTAGGCCCGTTTTTCACCCTCCCCGAGCGCAACCCCTCCGCACTCCTCCCGCTTTTGGCATGTGACGGCAGAAAGGTTACTGGTAGGCCTGTTTTTCACCCTCCCCAGGCCCCAGAGGCTTTCTTGGAGCCTGGGGAGGGCGAAAATGGCTTTCCCGACCCCCCAGAGGCCCTCCGGAGGCCGGAAACAGCCTGTTTCCTGACTTCCGGTAGGCCCAAAAGGCCCGAAAATCATCTGGCCGGCACGCGCGTGCATGCTGGAGCTGAGCTAGGGCAACACTCACGTGCTCACAGATATGACTCCGTGTGCCACCTGTGGCATGCCTGCCATAGGTTCGCCATCACGGCTCTAGATGATTGGTAGACCTGCTTTCAGAAATAGCTCAAGCAACCACCACACCAGAGACTGATCGCCTGAACAACTTCCAACTAGTTAATGTCTCTATCCCAGCATCCACCATTATCCAAACATACACATCCAGACTTGACCAAGTCCATCTAGACAAGCAGGTCTTCTGCTGCCAATCAGCGCTGGAGAAGGCATTATCTACCTTCCCTCTCTTTCCTCACACTTCTTGTAAGGACAAAACTCTATTGGCAAACTTAATTGCCAAGGTAGAACAGAAGGCTATAATAAAGCGTTTAGATTATTTTGCATGATGGAAAAGAAACAAACAGTTGGAAATGTCTCCGTTCCACGTAATAAACTTGGAGTGGGCACTCCACACCAGGGGTAAAATGCTCCCGGTTCGGACCAGATCGCGTGGTTCGGACAACCGGTAGCAAAAATTCCTGCGCCTCCCCCTCCCCCATGCCCAGCTGAGCCGCGCGATCGTCAGAGGCTGTGTTTTTTACTTTTAAAAGCATTTTTTCTACAACCTCTTCGGCCGAAGAGGTTGTAGAAAAAATGCTTTTAAAAGTAAAAAAGAAAAAAAAAGTTGACCACGCCCACCCAGTCACATTACCCCCACCACCACCACCAAGCCACGCCCACAGAACCGGTAGTAACGAATTTTACATTTCAGCCCTGAACTATAGGTTGATTTGGCAGGTTAGCTCTGTTTTTGGCTCTGATTCATTTCCCCATCACTGCTTTGGTACCAGATTTTGAGTTGGCTTTGAACTTCACCGGTGCATGGATGCTTCGGTGTGGTTTGAGAATGCTCCATGATGGATCAGACGCAGAAGGAGGCCTTTTGGGTGTTAGCCTAGTAAAAAGCCAGTTTTACCAGCCCAGCCCTTTGCCTTTCCGAGGGGAAGAATCCACCCAGCATCAGACACCAAACTGCAGCTGTGAATTGCTGCTATCAGATGGAAAAAGGGCAAGCAAGAACTGTGCTCATAGAAGGAAGGGGATTGCTGTTAGGTGTAGCTATGCAATTGACCTACAGAAGTCCATGCAAATGGCCACGAATGGTGCAGCTTCGGTCCCTATAGCTCCTGGGAGGCTCTTGTCTTTCTACCTTCCTGCAAGAGCAGGAAATTAGAAAGAAAAAAAATGCAAGCAAGCATGCAGGATAATAATTCAGTCATTAGGGAAGACTGGCATCAGTTGCCAAGTGTAAATACAGGTAGTCCTCCACTTATGACCTCAATTGAGCCCAACATTTCTGTCGCTAAGTGAGACATTCGTTAAGTGAATTTTGCCCCATTTTATGATCTTTCTTGCCACAGTTGGTAAGCGAATCACTGCAGCTGTTCAATTCAACAACATGGTTGTTAAGCGAATCTACCTTTCCCGTAGACTTTGCTTGTCAGACGGTCGCAAAAGGGGATCACATGACCTCAGGACATGGCAACCACATAAGTATGAACCATTTGCCAAGCGCCTGAATTTTGATCACATATCAAAACAGGACTACTACATATGAAGTTGACTGCAACATGCCCTCCAAGAAAATGGTTGTAGCAAAACAAATGTTTTAGTCCCTCAGGGAGAAAATAATAATAATAATATGATAATAACAGGAAAACTTGGCTTCAAGTTACTGAAGATGGAATAAGATGCTCCTTTTAGAGGATTAGGTAATTTATGAGTCTTGGCTCTGATGTTAGCCTTAACGCAGGACTAGCTTATGATCTAACACTGAATTATGCAGTATTAACTTTAGCGAAAGCTTTCATCCTTGAATGGATCATGGTCTAAAGGCTTTGGAACGTTCTAGCAAAACACCTCAGTGCTAGGAAGAAGCTGCAGGCTTCTGTTTAAACACCGCTGGCAAGTTAAAATATTATTTAAAAAGAAAAGCTCAGATGTACACATTTGCTGTAATACCAGGGGTGGGCTGTTGAGGGTTTGCAGGGGTTCGTGAGAACCTCTAGCTAAGATTCTGTGCAGTTCGCAAATCCCACTCCTGGCTGGCCCCGCCCACACCGCCCCTCCCAGGAGTCCCCACGTGGGCCTTTTTGGATGCAGGTAAGTGCAGGACGTGCGCAGAGGCTCGGGAAGGGCAAAAAACAGGAGTTCGAGCCCGTTTCCGGCCTCCAGAGGGCCTCTGGAGCCTGGGGAGGCCGTTTTCACTCTCCCAAAGGCTTGAGGAAAGCCTCCGGAGGCCGGGGAGGGCAAACCCACCCACCCCACCCCACCGTGGTGCAGGAGGCCCACCCAGGAACCGGGTAGAGAACCTCTTGCTAAAATTTTTGAAGCCCACCTCTGTGTAATACCAGACTCAGGAGGACACAGACAAACCTCCAAGTGCTTCAACGACCCTCTAAAAGGATGCAAATGGCCAGCTGTCTGCAAGGAATATAAATCCTTCCATTCCCCACCATCCCATCAGAGCTGAAGAAGCTTCTTGGATGAGAAGCGAAACGTCTTCAAAAGAAAAAACAAGACAGTCCAGTTGCCTCCCGAAAAAAAGCACCTTCGGGACCACCATGACTGAGAATCTCTACAGACCAGATCCAAGGAGGCTTTCTCTTCTCAAACAGGCCTCATAGCAGAGTGGAGCTCCCCACTCCCATCATCCTCAGTTTGGCTCCCATCATCTTTTTGCAGCTCCATCGTTGGGTGTATTGGCAGGGACAGATGGGAGCTGTAGTCCAACAAATCAAACAGATTGGAAATAGCTGCTATTATTTCTGTGGTACCTTATTTTATTTTATTTTTCCTCAAGCGGAAGCCACATTAATTAATGGCATCAGAATCCAAAACAGCCTGATGGAACTTTAAAGACATTTATTTATTTATTGTGGCGCAAGCTGTTTGGGATTACACTTCTGTTATTTTCTTCTTCAGCCGAGGACATTGATTGAGGCTTATTACGTTCTGTTTATTTGTAAGGGTGCTGCTAAATTTGACAAGGCAAATTAATGACAACATCGTGATTTTTGCAATGATATAGCAGCTTACGCTGAGGGAATAGGAAAAAAACAAACAAACCACAGAGTCTCAAAGGAAGGAGAAGAGAAGGTGCTGAGAGATAATATTGACCTTAATATGAAGATGATCCATCAGATCAGTCCTCTGAGACTTTGGTTTGTCTTGAGTGACTTCAGCGCTCTTTTATAATTCCCTCTGAAGTTTATTCCTATGTCAGCCTGATGACCAGAGAAATTTTTCTCCCGCCATCTGCCAGTAAGGCAGAAAGAGTTTCATAACCTGCAGAAAATGTCTTCATATCTTAAGAAAACTATAAATGGGCTGCAAGCAGTGGTGGGATTCAGCCGTTTCGGGCGAACCGGTAGTTAAATTGCTGGCTGGCTCCGCCCCTTCCCACCCCCTCCAGGAGTCCCCACGCCCCCCCATTTTGGCTCCCGGCTAAGCGCAGGGAGGCCTCTAGCCTGCAAGCAAGTAAAGTACCACTTTACAAAGCCTTAGTATGGCCGAACCAGGGGTGAAATGTAAAATTTGTTATTACCGGTTCTGTGGGCGTGGCTTGGTGGGTAATGTGACTGGGTGGGCGTGGCCAACTTTTTTTTTTTTTAACTTTTCAAAGCTTTTTTTCTAATGCTTTGAAAAGCTTCTGCCGATCAGTAAACTCATCTGGGATCGTCAGAGACTTTTCAAAGCATTTTTTTTACCACCTCTTCAGCCAAGAGGTTGCAGAAAAAAATGCTTTGAAAAGCCTCTGACGATCCCAGCTGAGCCGCGCAATCATCACTTTTTTTTTTAACTTTTAAAAGCATTTTTTCGTCGGAAGAGGTTGTAGAAAAAATGCTTTTTAAAAGTAAAAAAAAAAAAAAAGCCTCTGATGATCCTGTGGCTCAGCTGGGCATGGTGGGGAGGGGGGGATTTTTGCTACTGGTTCTCCGAACCACCCGCCATCATCGCTACCGGATCAGGGAATCCGGTCCAAACCGGGAGCATTTCACCCCTGGGCCGAACCTGGAATACTGCATCCAGTTCTGGTCACCACACTACAAAAAAGATGTTGAGACTCTGGAAAGAGTGCAGAGAAGAGCAACAAAGATGATAAGGGGGCTGGAGACTAAAACATATGAAGAAGGGCTCCAGGAATTGCGTATGTCTAGCCTAATGAAAAGAAGGACTAGGGGAGACATGGTAGCAGTGTTTCAAGATTTGAAGGGCTCCTACAAAGACGAGAGGGTCAACTGATTTTCCAATAGCATCAAAAGGCAAGATGAGAAACAATGGATGGAAAATAACCAAGGAGAGAAGCAATCTAAGGAGAAAATTCCTGATGGTTAGAGCAATCAACCAGTGGAACATTACATTCTGTTTATTTGTAACGGTGCCTTCAGAAGTTATGGGTGCTCCATCACTGGAGGCTTTCAAAAAGAGACTGGACAACCATTTGTCTCAAATGGTATAGGACAGTGATGGCTAACCTTTTTGCCGTCGCGTGCCAAAAGCGGGGGGAGCGCAGGGGGGTCACACGCATGCGTGGCCATACCCATAATTCAATGCGCCCCGCCCACCGCGCATGTGGTGACCCCCCGTGACCCCCGTCCCCGTGCAACCCCGCTCTTGGCATGCAATGGCACAGTGGGCCCGGTAGGTCCATTTTTCGCCCTCCTCAAGCTCCAGAGGCTTTCTTGGAGCCTGGGGAGGGTGAAAACAGCCTTCCCCACCCTGCAGAGTCCCTCCGGAGACCGGAAATGGCCTGTTTTCTGACTTCTAGTGGGCCTGGAAGGCCCAAAAATCAGCTGGCCGGCACATGCATGCACACTGGAGCTGAGCTAGGGCAACGCTCGTGTGCCCACAGATATGACTCCGCGTGCCACCTGTGGCACGTGTGCCATAGGTTCGCCATCACAGTTATAGGATCTCCTGCTCAAGCAGGATGTTAGACTAGAAGACCTCCAATGTCCCTTCCAACTCTATTATTCTATGTTCAAGCACAGACTGAATTCTTAAAATGCCAAGGTATCACAAAAAATTGAAGCTGTATGAAATGGTTGCAGAATCCAAATAAAGGAATGAGAGTATAAAAGAATTTCTTGCAATAATTTCCCTCGGAAGGATTTGGGGCTTTTAAAAAAAAAATCGATAACTTTGGATGCTACAAATTATACCGATGGCCACTGTACAAATAGAATAGAATAGAATTTTTTATTGGCCAAGTGGGATTGGACACACAAGGAATTTGTCTTGGTGCATACGCTCTCGGTGTACATAAAAGAAAAGATACGTTCATCAAGAATCATAAGGTACAACACTTAATGATAGTCGTAGGGTACAAATAATACAAGCAACAAAATTGCAGTCATACAGTCATAAGTGGAAGGAGATGGGTGGTGGGAAAATCCTTCTAGCCCCATCTTTATAGATGAGCAAAATGATTTGATCTTGTTTCAAAGGCATATAATGTTTTCTTTTAGCAGGCAAACAAATGTTACTTTTTGTTTGTATAGATGCCAGTATTTCAGCTGGTGGAAAAAAAAGGCCACGGGAATCTGAATGAAGCATCTAACTGAATTTTCAGGGTTCCTTCTATTTCAGAGCATTTACAATGACTCTAGCTTGTTTCAGACATCTCTAGCAATTGGTACAGCACAATCGCTGAGAAAACAGGACTATTGGAAGGTTGCAGAAAGATGCTGGCAGATTTTGAGTTGCCACTGATTAGTTTGAGGCATCTGATGTAAACTTACAATAAACCAGGAGCCAGGATAGAATTCAAAAGTACTACAAATTTATTTATTTATTTATTTATTTATTTTTTAATTTGATTTATATGCCGCCCTTCTCCGGAGACTCAGGGCGGCTTACAATGCATTAAGCAATAGCCTTCATACTTTTGTATATTTATACAAAGTCAGCTTATTGCCCCCACAAACGGGGTCCTCAATTTACTCACCTTAGAAAGGATGGAAGGCTGAGTCGACCTTGAGCCTGGGGAGAATTGAACTCGCAGTAATTGCAGGCAGCTGGATGTTAAATGCTGCCTTTAGGAGGCATTAGCCTCCTACGCCACTCAGGCTCCTATATTTCATGCTATCTATACACAAAAATCTGATCTACTCTGTGATAAAGCAAAAAAAAATTGGAGTATGATTCACACTCTAACACAGAAAATCCTGAAAATGGAGATAGAAATAAAACCAGAATTTTTCCTTTTGGGCTTAATGGAAAAAGACCTGGAGAAAAAACTTTAGAACTTTGTTACTATATATGTTGACAGCAGCAAGACTATTGTATGGGCAAAAATGGAAGGACACTTCGATTCCTACCATGGACGAATGATTGCAGAAGTTGATGGAGTTGGCAGAAATGGCAAAACTGACTACTTTGATTAAAGAAAAGAACATAAGTACTTTGGTTTCTACGTGGAAACCGCTTCTGAACTTCGTGCTTGATGTGGAAAAGAATGAAACTCTAACTTTGGGTTTTACAGATTAGATTGGTAGATCTTTATAGAAATGACTTGTTCATATTATTATAGGAAAAAAAGCTGTGATGTGATGCTTATGCCTTATTCTACTGCAACACAGTCGACAGTCAGTGCTTCCTTTTCTGGTCTTTTCCCTACCTTTCCTCACTTCTCTTTCCCCTTTCCCCTCCCTCCTCACTGCTCTTTTATTTACTTTTGTATTTTGTATTTTATAATACTTTATAACTTACTAAAAAAAAATTTTTTTTTTTTTAAAAAAAGGAATCTGATCTAATCATAGTCAAGGCAATTGGTGCTAAGTAAGAGTCAATGGAATTCACAAGGTCTTTTGTGAATGCATAGCAACTCCAAACTGTTGATGGGTGACCCCCGCCCTTGAGCTCAGCTGGGTCATCTCTTACAGTAATTTATCCTATTTTCTCCATCAGGTACCAAAGCATGGAAGTTTGTCACTAGCCACAGAAGCGGAAAGGCATCCATATAAGACTGAAATCATTGGAGGAGTTGTCGTGCAGACACCTATCTCTGTCAACCAGGTGAGAAAGGATGGGATGGGATGGGATAGAAAGAATAGAATAGAATAGAATAGAATAGAATAGAATAGAATAGAATAGAATAGAATAGAATAGAATAGAATAGAATAGAATAGAATAGAATAATAGTGGAGTGGAGTGGAGTGGAGTGGAGTGGAGTGGAGTGGAGTGGAGTGGAGTGGAGTGGAATGGAATGGAATGGAATAGAACAGGATAGAATGGGATGGGATGGGATGGAATGGAATGGAACGGAACAGAATGGAATGGAATAACAGAGTTGGAAGGGACCTTGGAGGTCTTCGTTCAAATACCCTGCTTAGGCAGGAAACTCTACACCACTTCAGACAAATGGTTATCCAACATCTTTTTAAAAATTTCCAGTGTTGAAGCATTCACAACCTCTGGAGGCAAGTTGTTCCACTGATTAATTGTTCTAACTGTCAGGAAATTCCTCCTTCGTTCTAGGTTGCTTCTCTCCTTGCTTAGTCTCCACTCGTTGCTTCTTGTCCTGCCCTCAGGTGCATTGGAGAATAGCTTGATTCCCTCTTCTTTGTGGGAGCCCCTGAGATATTGGAAGACTGCTATCATGTCTCCCCTGGTCCTTCTTTTCATTAAACTAGACATACCCAGTTCCTGCAACCGTTCTTCATATGTTTTAGCCTCTAGTCCCCTAATCATCTTGGTTGCTCTTCTCTGCACTCTTTCCAGAGTCTCCACATCTTTACATCATGGCGACCAAAACTGGATGCAGGATTCCAAGTGTGGCCTTACCAAGGCATTCCACAGCAACAGACCTTTTGCTGTGGAAGAGCGAGGCAGAGAAGGGATGCAGCTTCTGATAGAGGCATGCAGAAGAATTTTGGGGGATTCCTCTGCCTCTTTTGTTGAACATTTTTCTGCATCCGGGTTGGGAAAAGACCTTTTCTTGAGCTTCTAAGTGGCCTTTTCTGGGTGCGATATTTGGTAGGTAGAAATGACCCTGGGAGACCAAGGAAAGAGACACTGAATGATCAGATCAAAGGGGAGTTAGCCCACAGCTGAATAATGGGCAGAGAAAGAAACTTAGAAAGGAACTTCTCCCTTTCCTTCTTTCCTTCCTTCCTTCCTTCCTTCCTTCCTTCCTTCCTTCCTTCCTTCCTTCCTTCTTCCCTCCCTCCCTCTCTCCCTCTTTCCCTCCCTCCCTCTTCTTCTCCCTTTCCTTCCTTCCTCCCTCCTTTCCGTTCTCTCTTTCTCCCTTCCTTCCTCTTTCCCTCCCTCCCTCTTCTTCTCCCTTTCCTTCCTCCCTCCCTCCCTTCCGTTCTCTCTTTCTCCCTTCCTTCCTCTTTCTCTCCTTCCCTCCATCTTTCTAACCCTTCCTTCTATCCATCAAAAGTTGAAGGCACCATCCTACACCTGCGAAACTTTGTGTCATAAAGCCTTTTAAGGAATTTAAAATCATCTTCAAGGCAGCTTCCCAGCAGGCTGTCTCCGGAGTGCCCCCGGGGCAGGCATGAAAAAAAAATCAAGATGGTGGATTCTGATCAGGGTGGATAAAAATCAATGATTTTTTTTAAAAAAAAAAAAATCAAAAAAATCAGATTTTTTTGATTTAAATCGGATTTTTTTGATTTTTATCGAATTTATTTTAATAAAAAACTTTTGGGGTAAAAATCTATCGTAAGATAGTTTTCTATTTAAGATACATAAATAATTTAGTTTATTCAGCATGAAATGGAGCTTAGTGATGTAGCATGAGGCTGTATATTCTGCAACACTGGGACTATCGGTGAGTCAACAGTGGGTCAAAGGAGTAGCAGAGAGGACAGTTGCTCTTTAACAATTATGCTTTAAATCGAGTTGATTTAAATCAAGCCTTTTTACTAGTGATTTAAATCAGGATTTAAATCGGGATTTAAATCAGCTCGATTTAAATCAAATCCACCCTGATCCTGATGCAATGGAATTCCCCTCCTTCTTTTAAAACTTCTACATTTTTTTCCCCCTCATCTACCAGGCAACTTCTTCTTTCACCCCACTTGCCAGCTCAGTTTTCTCTTACCAGTCCTTCCTTTTCATCTCTGTTTTGGAAAGTTCAGTTCCTGGCAGGCTGCCTGTGAGCGTCTGCATTTGACGCTACATTTGCCTTGTCCTTTACAAGAGACAAGTGTCATCATCTTGGACTGTTAGATGATGTCTAAGTGTTTGTGTGTCTTTCCACTGTCTAGAGTGTAGGCCTACGTTGGCTAAGACAGAAGGGTCTTTGTTATGGATCTTCCTAGGCCAGGGAGCCTAATGTCTTGACCGAGGGAGCCAGCTATGCAACAAGGCTTACACAGTGGAGCATTGTGCCCATCTCTTGGTATCTTGGAAGCTGGAATTATTAAAAAGCATGAAGCGCTTCGGTAATTTACGTAAGGAAGAAAAGCCTACTTACTTCTTCAAAGTAGCGGATAATAAAAGCTGTGCCCTCAAGTGTATTTCTTGGTGTTTTTTTTTCCTTTTTTTTTAATTGAAAAAGTTTTACAAAAACCAATTTTTCCCCATTTCCCCCCCCATCCCTCCCTAACCCCCCCAACCCTCCCCTCTTCCCATGACTTCCCCAAGGTGAAATCCGTCCACATTATATTATATCATACTTTACCACCCCTCTATTCTCCCCCCTGTGCACTATACATTTCTATATAACAATATGCTATTTTGGCCCCTATATACCATGCATTACTACACAACATTCAGCTAAAAGCTATCTGATACTTCCTAGTTTGATATTTATTCTGCACATAATCTATCCATTTCTTCCACTCCCATGCATAAGTCTCCTGAGTCCGGTCTTTTAAATATGCTGATATCTTCGCCATTTCTGCAAAACTGGCCATCTTCAAAGTCCATTCTTGAATTGTAGGCATATCATCCCTTTTCCAATATTGACCAATCAATAACCTAAAGAAAGTGTATTTCTTTATTCAATCTCCCATTTAAGCAAAACTAGATCGCAAAGGATTTATTTTTACTAACTTTTTTTCCCCAGTTTTTGGAACTCAATCCGTAAGTTTTCTCTGCCTTCTCCATTCCCCTTGCATTCTTATTTTGCTTCTTCCTCAGGCTCTTTCTTCTCTGTAATTGCTGATCATTATTCTCTTGGGAAAAATATTCTGCCCCAATTTCAAAACAGGAGGAAACCCCCCCCACCCCTCAAAGAATGGGGTCTCTGTTCTCTTGGCCTTTTTAAAAAAAAAAATTGGGATGGAGCCAATAATGTTAATCTCTCTCTTCCAAGCGATGCATGATTCTGCAATCTTGGAAATAGGAAGAAATTGCATACCGTGTTTCCCCGAAAATAAGACCGGGTCCTATATTAATTTTTGCTCCAAAAGACGCATTGGGGCTTATTTTGGGGGAAATACGGTACTAAATGCACCCATCTGGCTAACAATCTTAACTGGGGCTTATTTTTGGGGTAAGGCTTATATTACAAGCATCTTGAAAAATTGTACTAGGACTTATTTTCTGGTTGGGTCTTATTTTCAGGGAAACAGGGTATTTATCCTTAGCAGTAACATGATTAATTTTTGGAGGTGTGGAAGAGAGAAGTATGCAGAAGTTGCTTCCTCTTTTGATTTAATCCCTTTCTGACTACAGATTTCAGTGGATTTTCCCCACATGGCTTTGCAGCTGTAAAGGATTGAATAGGTTCTTTGCTTCCTAGCAAAAAATGAGGTTTTCAGGAAGGCAATTCTGCAGCCAGAAATCAAAACAACTGCTTTTTTTCCCCCATTGAACAACAAAATACGTTCAATCATATCTATTCTGCTGAAAAATATCAATTAACGCAAGACATAAGGCTCCGTATACTGTTTTGTACACTGCTTTGGAAAGCAATTCACTTTTAGTTTTATATAATACTAGTAGCTGGATACCCGTGCTTCGCTACAAAATTATGTGATCGGGCTTGATAAATTGACAGTCAAAGCTTGAACATTAATGAGTAGTTACAATCGGCCTCTCCTCTCTCCTTCTCTCCCTCAGGCTTGCCCCACAGAAGCCTCTCCTCTCCTATCCCCCTTCTCTCCCTCAGACAAGCCTCTTCTATCTTATCCCCTTCTCTCCCTTTCAGGTGGGGAGGGGAAGTAGAATGTCCAAACTCTCAGTCCACAGGCTGGATGAGTCATGCACTGGCCACGCCCACACCCAAGTGGCAGTTGGAATAGAGTTCTTTGCAGGTGGGGAGGAGGAGTAGAATGTCTAACTCCTTAGCATCAGAGCATGTTAATAATAATATAAGAAATACTAATGCTCTAATGGTCGTTTCGAAAAATCCTTTCTTAGCGAGCACCTAGAAGCCAAGAGGAACATACGTGCCAAATTTCAAGTTTGTAGGCTTTATGGTTCTGGAGATTTTGCGATGATGCGTGAGTGGTATTTCCCACACACACACACACACACACACACACACACACACACACATATATACATATACATATATATGACAAAGTGCTGATACAATTAATTACTCTTAATCCAGTATCCATCCGTTTTCATCTATTAATAATCATTACAATATAGATTTAAGGTATATAATGTATAATCCACCGTTAGTTTCTACATAGATTTTAATCTAGTGAATTCAGAGCCTTTTGTCTATGATTCTATCTAGATTTTTTTTTCATAGTTTATATATTAGATCATTTTTTCTTATTGTGATGGACGCACCTGCTAGTATAGAGGGAGGAGTAAAAAGGTGGTCTAGTTTGGAGCCATTCCATAGGAGGAAGAGTCTTTTGAAGCTTTTGTCTTCCTTTTCCCAAGAGATTGCAGTCAGGCTGGTGAGATTCTTGTAAACAGGTGATCAACAATAAAGAAACTATTTTGTCCTATTCACGGAGTTGCTCTGGTTTCCCAGAAGGACAGTGGTTGACAGAAAAAAAGAAAGAAAGAAATGAAACTACAAGAAAGAAGTTAAAATAGAGAGGAGATGTCAAAAATGGAAAGGAGGTCTTTAAAAAAAAAGAGAACAAGTGATAATAGACAGGTTTGAAGTTGGTCTACCATTTTCTTCAATCCCATAAGTACTCTGGGTATGTTGTGGGCAGGGGTGGACTGCTGGGGGTTTGCAGGGGTTCGGGAGAACCTCTAGCTAAGATTCTGTGCAATTTGGAGAACCCCCCAAATCCCACTCTGGCTGGCCCCACCCACCCCGCCCCTCCGAGGAGTCCCCACACAGCCCGTTTTGGATGCAGGTAAGTGCAGGGCGCACATGGAGGCTCAGAGAGGGTGAAAAACGGGCCTACCGGAAGTTCAGCCTCCAGAGGGCCTCTAGAGCCTGGGGAGGCCGTTTTTGCCATCCTGGAAGATCGAGGAAAGCCTCTGGAGCCCGGGGAGGACAAAAATGCCCCCCAATGTGGTGCAGGAAGCCAACTAGGCCACACCCACCATGGCCACACCCACCCAGCAACCAGGCAGAGAACCCCTTGCTAACATTTTTGAAGCCCACTCCTGGTTGCGTGACTTCCAGCAGATCGCTATATTACTATATTTCTCAAATCTTGGCAACTGTAAAATGGGTGGACTTCATCTCCCAGTGTTCCCCAGCCAACATGCCAGCTTGGGAATTATGGAAGTTGAAGCCCACCCATCTTAAAGTTGCCAAGATGAAGAAACACTGCTATAAAGGAAACAAAGATGTCCACAGGGGCAGGTTAAAAAAAAAAAAAAGACAAAATGGCCACCGCAAGGACTCACTGGAAGTCCGTCCATTTTGTTTCCCTTACATGTTGCGCAGGGAAGTAGTAATTTGTCCTTGTGGTTGTGGCCACCATCTTCACTTTCTTGATGCTCCCCATGGTTCCTCCTAATGGAAAAGTGGTTTTAGGTAGGAAGTTACCCTTCCTCTGTCAAGGAGGTACATTTCGTGGCTTTCTTCACTTGGCCGTAGGGTTGCACTTCAAAAAAGTTTGGAAGAGAGAGAATCATGAAGAGGGTAGGGCCAGAGGAAAAAAAGCTACATTAAATAAAGTTTAATTAAAATACATCAAGTAATTAAATAGAGCAACTAAGATTATTCCTCATGTATTTCAGCATTTCCTCTTTTATGGTATTAAAAACGAGCATCCTTGGTAAAGACTGTAGGGGCCTCACCCATCTTTTTCAGGAATGACAGCAATTTGGGATTGGAAGTTGCACGCCCTGGCACTGAAGAAATAGGTTTTCTTGGAATAATTTAGCGAGCTTGGATTAATTTAATGAGCATGACGATGTTTATTCATGGAGCTGTGGTTGAAAGGAGAACTGCAGGGGTTCCTTGAAAAACTGGGAATTTTAAGTAGAAAGGACGTAGATTAAATTAATTGGCGGTCTTAGGATAACCAGGTCTGTCTGGAACTAAATGTAAGAGCAAGTTCTGCATGGGAACCGTGGCTGAACATATGTGAAGCAGGGCATGAATCACATCTGGCTCCCCAATGCCCATATCATGCCTGCTTGACAGGTGCAAAGGATCAGGAACATTCGTTAAATTGCAGTACAGAAGATTTATTCAAACCTATAAACAAGACTTGGGGTTTTTAACAAGGGGACGCGGTGGCTCAGTGGCTAAGATGCTGAGCTTGTCGATCGAAAGGTCGGCAGTTCAGCGGTTCGAAACCCTAGTGCTGCGTAACGGGGTGAGCTCCCGTTACTTGTCCCAGCTTCTGCCAACCTAGCAGTTCGATGTCCTAATCCCTGTCCTTTAAACTGTCATAGCTAGTTAAACACAAATACAGTAGAAATCAATGTTTGCTGAGAGGGAGTTGAAAGGTCTCCGAGTGTCAAGGTCAAGAGCGGGGGGGAGGGCTTCAAAAATTTTAGAAAGGGGTTCTCTGCCTGGCTGCTGTGTGGGCGTGGCCATGGTGGACATTGCCTAGTTGGCCTCCTGCACCACATTTTTGCCCTCCCCAGGCTCTGGAGGCTTTTCTCAAGCCACCGTGAGGGCGAAAATGGCCTCCCCAGGCTCCAGAGGCCCTCTGATGGCCGGAAAGGTGCTTTGGAAAATAGCTTGACCCCCTCCTCTCTATGAGAGCCCTTCAAATATTGGAAGACTGCTATCATGACTCCCACGGTCCTTCTCTTCACTAGACTAGCCATGCCCAGTTCCTGCAACTGTTCATTGTATGTTTTAGCCTCCAGTCCCCTCATCATCCTGGTTGCTCTTCTCTGTACTCTTTCTAGAGCCTCAACATCTTTTTTAGCGTGTGGTGACAAAAACTGGATGCAGTACTCTAGGTGTGGCCTTACTAAGGCTTTATAGAGTGGCATTAGAACCTCACTTGATCTTGACTGAATCCCTTTGTTAATGCAATTTAGGATTGCATTGGCTTTTTTGGCTGCTGCATGGTACAGAGAAATATGCAATAAAAGTTTGGTTAAGCTTTCTTTGAAAATCCTCTGCCCCCACCCAAAAAAGAGAGTTCTGGTATCGCAAATATAGAAGTTTAGGCAGTGATGCAAATATATTTTCTGGAAATTGCCCAATTTCTGCTAGTACATTTCTACTGCTCCATTTCGCCTACCAAATTTCCATGGGTGCTCTAGTCTTAACTGGAACTTTTCTTCCCTTTTTCCTTTTTCCCTCACAGAATGGAGGAGATGGCTCTGAAGGCCACGAGCTTTCGTCTCACCCTTTGTTGAAGCGGTCCCAGAGTTACAACCCCGCTACCAAAACCCCAGTGGGACCACTAGTCCTCAAGAGCGGCTACTGTGTGAAGCAGGGGAACGTAGTAAGTGTCGTTTTGACTCAACTTTGGTGACTCTCATTTTATCTCTCTGGATAGTTTTTGGATGAGGAGATCATTTCAAGGGATGCTGTTAGGAAAAGGTTCTGAGAGGAAAGAAAAAAAATACAGGTAGTCCTTGACTTAATGACCACAATTGTTCCCAACATTTCCATTGCTAAGCGAGGAATTTCTTCAGTGAGTTTTGTCCCAGCTTGTTGGCCATAGTAGTTATATGAGCCGCTTCAATTGATAAGAGAGGAGAAATACTTTCAGATTGCCAAGATTCTTTGAATATAACTTTACAATTAAAGACAGAGTACTCCAGGCCGTGCTTCTCATCTGACTATCTTGAAGAGATAACAAAGGCAAAAGGGAAAAGATATCCCTCATCTGGAGATGTTTTTGGGTTTGAGCTCACCATCACTTGGTTGAAGTGTGTGTTTGTCTGCAGGGTGTGGTAATAAAGAGTTAAGATGGCAGCCCCCAAGATGCTTTTTCCAAAAGGCAACTGGACCTCCTTGTTGGTTTATTTCCTTTGAAAACGTTTTGCATCTCATCCAAGAAGCTTCTTCAGTTGGATGAGAAGCAAAACGTTTTCAAAGAAAACAACAACAACAAGAAAGTCCAGTTGCCTTTTGGAAAAACCATCTTTGTGGTAACCATGTCCTGCACGACTGAGAATCTCCACGGACACTTAAGATGGCAGCCATCACCCTGCAGCTGAAGCTGGACCTTCACACCACACAAACATAAAAACCAGTGCAGGTTCTTAACAGCCGTTCTCAGCACCTGTGTTACATGGAGTATTTGGAAGAACGATTTAAAAGCTTTTTACAGTTTAACAATTAAACAATTTAAAAATGTAAAAAAAAACAATTTAAAAGAAAGGGATTCTTCTTTGCCTTTCAGAGGAAGAGCTGGAAACGCCGTTACTTCATGCTGGATGAAATTTCTGTCAGTTATTTCAAATGCGAGCAGGTAAACAATCCAGACTTTTCAAAGCTGTGATTTGGTCTCATTGCCTCTCTTCCTTGACGGCTGTAGAGAAGATGGCTGTAGATACTCTCCCTTACAATCAGGAAGAGGCGCTGGTGGGATGCTGCTGGTTTAACAACCGTTTAACAACCGTTTCAGTGATCGCGCGCTTCACGCGTGTGCAGTTTTACAAATACCTTCTGTGTTACTGCTGCGCCAATCAGCTGAGAAGATAAAGGTAAGTAAAGCGCAGGGGAGGGTGGGCGGGCCAATCATCGGAACCGGTTCGCTACCAGCTGATCATTGGAGTTACTGGTTCACCAAACCGGTTCGAACCGGTAGAATCCCAGCCCTGGGAAGAGGTGTTCTCCATGTTCTGCTAAGTAAATTTCATTTTGAGAACAAAGAAGGATATTTATCCTAGGACTGCAGTGGTAAAATCAGATATGGGCAGATAGAACAGAATAGAATAGAATGGAACGGAACGGAACGGAACGAAACGGAACAGAATAATGAATGGAATGGAATGGAGTAGAGTAGAGTAGAGTAGAGTAGAGTAGAATAGAATAGAATAGAATAGAATAGAATAGAATAGAATAGAATAGAATAGAATAGAATAGAATAGAATAGAACAATGAACGGAATGGAACAGAATGGAACGGAACGGAACAGAACAGAACAGAACAGAACAAAATAATGAATGGAATGGAATGGAATATGGAATGGAATGGAATGGAATAGAATAGAATAGAATAGAATAGAATAGAATAGAATAGAATAGAATAGAATAGAACAATGAACGGAATGGAATAGAATGGAATGGAATGGAATGGAACGGAACGGAACGGAACGGAACAGAACAGAACAGAACAAAATAATGAATGCAATGGAATGGAATGGAATGGAATGGAATGGAATGGAATAGAATAGAATAGAATAGAATAGAATAGAATAGAATAGAATAGAATAGAATAGAATAGAATTTTTTATGGGCCAAGTGTGATTGGACACACAAGGAATTTGCCTTGGTGCATATGCTCTCAGTGTACATAAAATAAAAGATATGTTCATCAAGAATCATAAGGTACAACACTTAATGATAGGGGTTAAAAGTAATGCTGATACCTCAGAAGTTTTTAAGTTTCTTCAAGATCTTGTGACCAGATCTTACTTTGTTTTAGAGCAGTGGTTCTCAATCTGTGGTCCATGGATATCGGGGGGGGGGGGGGGGGGAGTGTGATGTCATCACAGAGGGTCCATGAAGGCTTGAAGAAATGTTATGATTTAAATCTTGAGTTAAGTCCTGGTAGTCGTGGCCATGGTCTGTGGCCACAAAAGAGAATCCATGGTGAAGAAAACATTGGGCACCACTGTTTTAGAGAAAAAGTAATATAATATTTGGAAGAGATTATTCTACACTCTCTTTCTCTGTCAGTGATTAAGTTCATAAAGGATGCAAAAACATGACTGCTTAATTGTGGTTTAGTGATTCAGCAGTAATTGGCCAGATCCTCATAACTTGCTAAGCCGTAAATCATTGTTAGTAACCCCTGCAGGTGGATTTGTGCCACAGACTGAATCAAAGCCAAGAAAATCACCTGCTTAGCATAATTGTAAGAACTAGGTCGGTAAGAGAACACTAAACTGGTTTTCAATAAAGCCATCACAGTAAAACAAGTTAACACTTAAAAACAACAAACACCAAAATTCATTGTGAAAAGAAAATCAAGCAAAACACTATTGTTGAAAAAAAAATGCAAATGTTATGGTTTCAAAGTTGTAATTGAAGACACTTAGCAAGAAGTCACACTTCTCTGTTGCATGAAACTCACAAAGATTCATTTTCTGATCTGATCTGACAGTTATTTTGTCCCACATTTAGGGACAAGAATTTAATTCATCTGTTATTTGTGATGAAATTAATTTAATCCCCCAGAGTTAATGCATTTCCACAGCTGTATCATCTGACTCTCTAAAACAAAACAAGAGATACTAATACTTTATTAACTTGTATGCTGCGTGACACCCCTCACAGAAATAATTTTTATTAACATTATTTAAAACGTTTGTATTATTTTTATTTTGTGGAAAAAAGTCTTTAATAAAAATCATTTTCCGCAGAGTAAATACAATACAAATTTTAAGTGGAAAAATAAAGAGAAATAAAAAAAAAATAGAAAACTGAAAAAGCAAGAAAATGAAAAAAAGGAGAAAAGAAAGAAAGAATAATGAAGAGTAACTTTCAATCTTCCTAACAGCAGTTATAGGTAATGTGCTGCCTGCCTGACTTTTAATGACTCTGTAAGGCTCACAACAATAAAAAAAATTACAATATAATCAATAAAAAATTAAAGATAAAGATAGGTAAAAATTATTTAGTGTCCTCACTTTTTCAAGAGGCAACTGGACCAGGGGTGAAATCTGACAGGTTCTGGAGAACCGGTAGCGGAAATTTTGAGCAGTTCGGAGAACCGCAAATACCACCTCTGGCTGACCCCAGAGTGGGGTGGGAATGGAGATTTTGCAGTAGCATTCCCCTGCCAGCCCACCAAGCCACATCATGCCATCCAAGCCACACCGCAGAACCGGTAGTAAAAAAATATGGATTTCACCACTGAACTGGACTTTCTGGTTTTTCTTTGAAGATGTTCATTTCTCATCCAAGAAGCTTCTTGGATGAGAAACGAAACCTCTTCAAAGAAAAATAAAAGCAAAAAATCTTCCAAGAAAAACCAGAAAGTCCAGTTGCCTCTTGAAAAAGCTCCTTTGGGACAACCATGACCTGGATGACTGAGAATCTCCATAGACATCCTCACTTTTGCTTGTATCTTGGAGGTAGAAGCCAGATATTACAAGCCTTTTTAGTGGCGTGCTTAGATGCAAAAAAGGAATTTCAAACCCGTAGAAGAGTTGCTCTAAAACTCCAGCAGGGAATTTGAAAATTCATTTGGACAATAACTCAGTTGCTTGTGCTTCGATACCGTGCAGTGACAGTCTGCCATGAACTCTGGGGAGGATTGATGGCAGGGAGACTGCTTGGAGGGAAAATGAAAGTAACTACTATATCTCCCCGAGACTGTGCCTCAAGGTCCTCCGGCTGGGAGAAGAAGGCAACTGCATACTAACCTACGCTTGAACTGACCATTCTGAAAATATCTTGCTTGAACGTGATTGGTCATGGAAGGGGACCCCTCATCAGCGTTGGGAGGCAGTTAAGGGAGGGAAAAGTTGTACGTAGGGATTTTGGCATGTAATTCTCAGTTCTGGCTATGCATTACTGTAGTACACTTGACTTCTAATAATGCATACCTTGCTCAGCAAATGGAGACAAGGATCATTTCTATCTACCCTGTTTCCCCCAAAATAAGACATTATCCCCTGATAATAAGCCCAATCGGGCTTTTGAGCGCATGGCAATAAGGCCAAGCGCTTATTTCAAGGTTCAAAAAAAAAATAAGACAGGGTCTTTTTTCGGGGAAACACTGTAGAGGTTTAAGTGGTGGCAGGTCTAACAGTGTCACCCTTATTTATCAGTATTAATATATCAGATACTTGCATCGATGAGTAGCAGCATGCAAAAATGATACAACAAACGTCAAAAAACTTGGTCCAAAGAGTGTTGCGCGCGCTAGAAATGTGCTTGGATAATGAGTCATTTATAAATTTTATTCTTGGCTTTTCATCTACCTTCCAACCCACGCAGTATCTGTTCTCGCCTGTTGGCTAATTGTGCACTGCCCTATTGGTTTTGCTTATCTTGTCAGGATAAAGAGCCTTTGCGGTCAATCCTCCTGAAGGATGTTCTGAAGACTCACGAATGTCTCGTCAAATCTGGGTAGGAGTGTTCTTTATATTCGGGCATTTTATCTTAGTATTGGCATTTGTGCTGTCAAATTGCTTGTGGAATGGGTCGGTATTTAGAATTATAGATAGATAGAATTCTTTATTGGCCAAGTGTGATTGGACACACAAGGAATTTGTCTTTGGTGCATACGCTCTCAATGTACATAAAAAGACAAGATACATTTGTCAAGAATCAATAGAATAGAATAGAATAGAATAGAATAGAATAGAATAGAATAGAATAGAATAGAATAGAATAGAATAGAATAGAATAGAATAGAATAGAATTCTTTATTGGCCAAGTGTGATTGGACACACAAGGAATTTGTCTTTGGTGCATACGCTCAGTGTACATAAAAAGACAAGATACACTCATCAAGAATCATAAGGTACAACACACAATGATGGTCATAGGGTACAAATAAGCAATCAAATCATACTAGGATACAATCAATATAAATTGCAAGGATACAAGCAATAAAGTTACAGTCATGCAGTCATAAGTGGGAGGAGATGGGTAATAGGAATGATAAAAAGACTAATAGTAATTTAGTGGCAGATGATGTTCTGCTTTGGTTAGTTTGCATTCCATCATCTCAGTTAGAGCGATCATGACACCATATCATTTCACTGGGATAAAAATGGTACTCAGATTACGTTGCTAGTGGTGGACAGATGAAACCGGGGGATGCTATTCTGCAAAATAGTTTTGGGGAAAGGTGGGAGATACTTCTCAAGGTAATTCTGTGGAGTGCTTTTTTTTTAAAAAAAGAGTTCAGTGGTACCTTGGTACTTGTTAACTGGTTCCAGAAGGTGTGATGAGCACCAAAAACCATGTTTATCAAACAATATTTTCCCATAAGGAATAAGATAATGAGTCACAAGGCAACCAACACCGAGAAGTTCTAACTTGTGTGTTGAGTACCAAACAAACAATGAGTTCCGGGACAAAATTTTCACGTCAAAATGTGTTCAATGAGATTCAAAGCAGTTGAGTCCTGAGGTACCACTGAAGCTTAAGAAACGGCACGAAAAAAAGAAAGCTTCCATTTTGTAGCCAAGAAAGGGGCATGGAGGTGATGTCACTAGTAGTCAGGCTTGAGTTTCAGGCTTTGTGAGGTAGCAATAACAATAGCACTTAGAGCAGGGGTCGGCAATCCACGGCTCTGCAGCCGCATGTGGCTCTTTCATCCCTCTGCTGCAGCTCCCTGTCGCCGGTCAGCTCCACAATTGATAAGGCTTTCGGTTAGGACAGGTAGAGGAAAAAGGACGCCATGCTAGGAGACTCTATGGTGGGGGAACTGACTTCCGGTCAGCAGAGGAAAAAGGACGCCATGCTAGGAGACTCTATGGTGGGGGAACCGGACTTCTGGTCAGCAAAGGAAAAAGGATGCCACACTAGGAGGAGACTCTATGGTGGGGGAACCGGATATCCAGTCAGCTCCAGAATTGAAGGGGGGCTTCCAGTTAGGACCTTTGTGGCTCTTTGAGTGTTTAAGGTTGCCGACCCCAGACTTATGTACCGCTTTACAGTGCTTTACAGCCCTCTCTAAGTGGTTTATAGAGTCAGCCTATTGCCCCCAATAATCTGGGTCCTCATTTTACCCACCTCGGAAGGATGGAAGGCTGAGTCAACCTTGAGCCTGGTGAGATTCGAACTGCCAAATTGCAGGCAGCCGGCAGTCAGCAGAAGTAGCCTGCAGTACTGCACTTTAACCACTGCGCCACCACGGCTCAGGTACCTGAACTTGTCCCTCATGAGGGGGCAAACAGACACAGTCGTGATGTAGTTTGTCTCATTACGGCCTTCTCAGGCTTTTGTGAGCTGAAGAATCATCCCAACGAGAGTCTCAGAAACAACGCCAAGCAAAGCCACCCATTCCAATTTCAGTTAATATTAATATTGAATTAATTCTTTACTAAAATTGGCATTCAGAAAAAAAAATGTTCCTGGTATATGCAGTTAAGTTTAAGGTTAATACTTCTCTCTCTTTTTTTGTTTTTCAAGTGACCTTCTAATGAGGGATAATCTCTTCGAAATTATAACAAGCTACCGGACCTTCTATATCCAGGTAAAATATATATGATGATATATGAAATAGGGTCTTGCAAATTTCCATCGTTTGGAAGTTGCTTAAGCCTTCTTCCCAAAAACGTTGCAAATCGTGAAACTTCCAGATGTTGCTGAACTATCACTTTCAGCAGGACCAATGATGCTGGGTGTTGGGATTTGTAGTTCAGCAATTCAAGAAGGGCTACATATTTCCTCTTTTTTGAACTTGTGATCACTCAAACGTATTTGACCATACATGAAAAGTATTTGAATTGGAACCTGAAGTCTGCCCCACCCTCCAAAAAAACAAACAAACTGGAAGAATTATATTAGCCTCTCAACTCTTGTTTCTGGTTTTTTCTTTCTCTCTTTTTGGATTAGCGGATCCTTAACGTTTCTTCTAACATCACAGTTCTACGAGGTTATGCTTCCCCCTCCCTTTAGAAACATTTCTAGCTTTATGATGATTTTCTTACTGGTTTTCCATACGACCTGAAGTAATTATGTCAATAACTGCATTTTATCCCTACAACATTTTCTATACTCCTATTTGATTGGCATGTTGAGATACATAAAGGAGAGCTACAAGGAAGGTGGTCATAGTATCTAGGACCAAAAATAATGGTTACAACTTAGGCTGTCTAATTAAAAGAAAATTCCTCTTGACAGGAAAATTTGTATAACAGAGGAACAGTCTATCTAGGTCTCCTGCGGGAGTAGGGGGTTGGACTAGATGACCTCCAAGGTCCCTTCCAACTCTGTTACTGTTACTGTTACTGTTACCTATGGACACCAGTTTTCCATCTCTGAGGCTCACAAGAATAGAATTGTTGTAAATGACCACACGCAGAAAGATTGAGGAAATATGTGGTAATTTATTGCTTTACGGAGTGACATTATATAGTTTGTTACTACAAGTTACAGCGTATTTGGCAGCATATCATTGGCTCACAGAATCTTCCAGGTAACTTAAATCATAGGTTAACCATTACTGCTTGCTTAAGCACTTATAATGTTTAGCTATAGTTAAAGTATAACATATCCCACTTCATCCTCTCGTGCTCTTCTTATTTACAGATTTGGGGTCTTATTTTCTAATGCCATTTCCTGGCGCCTACGTGCATGTAACCTTCCTTATCTGAGGTTTGCCTTCCGAGATAGGAAAATTCCTGCACGTATGCAAACTCCTACATAGAATTAATAGAATAGAATGAATGAATGAGCTGGAAGAGACCTTGGAAGAGAAGTGACGAGTGCTTGAGTGTCCGTGCGTAAGGAGTCCCGATCTAGAAAGGGGTGCAACTGGCGTATCAGGCGAACCTGATAGAAAGCCCCCCTGGCCAGGACCGTGGTATGCTCTTCTAAAGACAGCCGTGCTTGGGCATGGGGTGGGGTTGGACTGGATGATCTACAAGGTCCCTTCTAACTCTGTAAATCTGTTAAAAATGTGGCTTCTCTAAGAAGGGGGTTCCAACCCTTTTCCAGTGATCGGGGTCTGGTTTATATATACTTTTAGTTCACCGTAGCCAGGATGCTGTGCATTTTAGAAGACCACCTGTAGAACTTCCTAGCAGGTTTATCTGGTTGAATGTTTTCAGAGATTCTGAAAGTCACCTGGTTTCTCAGAAGGCTGGTAAACCTTCGCGTGTTTAAAAATGGATTCCTAGCGGAGAAGGCCGCATTTTTTTAAATTTAGTTTGCGAGGCCATCAATTTAGCTTTTGACAGTTGAAAGCATTCTTCCCCTGCCAAACAGGTTGCTTTGTTGACAGGCTGTCAAGCAGAAAGGGTAGATGAGGTGAGACTTCATACACAGACCATTTTAGCCTAGGGGAGCCTAGTGAAGCGCGAGAATCCAGCTATTGCCACAATTTCACTTCTCCGTTTCATCATGTTCGTAATGAAAGTTGTTGTTTGCACAGGCTCTGCAGAAACAGAGCCATAAACATGGGAATGCGTGTGTGAAGATTGCAGTAAGAGAGCTTTCCCCAGATAAGGGGGGACGGAATTGCTCTTCAGGTGTGTTGAAACGATATTTAGGAAGTATCCGATGTTAGGGAACGAAGAGTTGCGTGCAAGCATTTTGCAGGCACTAGAAATGAGGAGGTGCTCGCCGAGCTTGGTTGTTTTTCCTGCAGATGGTTCATTACCCAAACTAGGTAACATACCCAAATTAATTTGGGTAAGGAAACATCTGCAAGAAAACAAGCTCAAAAGAGCTTGTTCATTTGAACCCTGAGCTACACATATTCTCCTTTATTAAGACACTCAAAGTATCCTCAAAAATTAATGCAAACTTCTCGAGATAATTCTATAGGGTGCTTGCCCTTAGAAGAATTCTGGAGATGCAATATCTTCCTGCCAAGAACATCTTGCATTCTTTTTTAAATACCACTGCCTGAAATTCATAGAATCATAGGTCTGGAAGGCACCTCAGAGGTCTTCTAGTCCAACCCCCGGCCATAGGCTGGAGTCAGTGGTGAAATCTGAATTATTTTACTACCGGTTCTGTGGGCGTGGCTTGGTGGGCATGGCAGGGGAAGGATACTGCAAAATCCCCATTCCCTCCCATTCCTGGGGGAAGGATATTGCAAAATCTCCATTCCCACCCCACTCTGGGGCCAGCCAGAGGTGGTATTTGCCAGTTCTCCAAACTACTCAAAATTTCCGCTACCGGTTCTCCAGAACCTGTCAGAACCTGCTGGATTTCACCCCTGGCAGGAGTCCTCATTCCATCCCAGACAAATGGTCGTCCCCCTTTTTCTTGAAAACCATCAGCGATCAAGAGCGTACGCTTCCTAACATTTCTCAGATGAAAAGAGGAAAACCATTGTGAATATCTGAATGGCAATCAATGGCTGTCGAAGATCGGCGACAGCCGGTCCGTCTTTTGAAATTTGCAAACTGCAAACAGGTTTGTTTTGAATTAATTGGAGCTAACTCCACGCCTGTCTCGCTAAGACAGTTTTGGAATTTGGACAATGTTTTACAGCCGTACTCAAATGACAGCCTGCTGAGAACGAGGGTTGCATATTTGCCCGGTGACTGACATGGGAAATGTAACTGAGTTATAATGCACTAATTAAGTAGAATGTTACTGCCATCCCTCTGGCCCCCTCCCCTTCCCCATTCCTCTTTCTACTTTTGCAGTGATGAGTAAATCCCCAGCCTTCAACCTTTCATTATTCTTTTCTAAGAAAGCTGTAGGGGCTTTTTGCAAATGGAGTTGATGACGGTGGCTTTGCCGTGTGTTTTTCCACACATCATTTTCTCTCTCTTTGGATTCGAAGAATGGCTTAGAAACATAGGAAGTCAAGGAGGGGCAGAAATAGAGTCAAACACCAAAGGAGTTGTCCAGGTGTACCTTTGGTGTGAAAGTTGGACCATAAGGAAGGCTGAGCGCCAAAGAATGGAGGTCTTTGAACTACGGTGCTGGAGAAGACTCCTGCAAGTCCCTTGGACTGCAAGACGATCAAATCTGTCAGTCCTAGAGGAGATCAACCCTGACTGCTCTTTAGAAGGCCAGATCCTGAAGATGAAACTCAAATACTTTGGCCACCTAATGAGGAGGAAGGACTCACTGGAGAGGAGCCTAATGCTGGGAACAATTGAGGGCAAAAGAAGAAGGGGACGGCAGATTGCTGTGCCACGCGATCCTCGGAACCTCTTTTTTTTTAAAAAAAAATTAAAATATTTTTTTACTACCGGTTTGAGAGAGAATAGGTAGTAAAAAAATGGTTTTAAAAAGTAAAAAAAAAAAAAGGTTCCGCCGATTGCATGGCATAGCTGTGATTGCCCCCACCTTTGCAAATAGCCCCAGAAAGACTGGGCCATCTTATCTACAAGACAAAAGGCCTTCAGCTCCAGGGTGATAGGATTAGCCCTCACTCAAGATCCAAAACAGGAGGAAAGCCATTAAGCCATAATAGGAATTGCCCAACATGCTTTCAGAACATAAGCCTCTTCATTACATCATCACCCAGCAAGATTCAACCAAGCCTGGGACACAGACAGCCTACAAGATTAGCTGGACCCCCGCATAGCCCTCTGGGAGTCTGACAACCAAGAGGTTACATTTCTTGCACAGGAACAGGAAGCTCTAGGGCAAGTGTTCATGTGTTCAGCTATCCAGAATCACGCTTGCTTGGTGGTTCTGCTTCACCATTAAACCATCCTTCCAAGCACTACCGGTTCGCCCGAACTGGTAGCACTTCACCCCTGCCTTGGAGGTCTTCTAGTCCAACCCCCTGCTCAAGCTTTTCCATTTCAGATAACTGGCTGTCCAGTCTCTTCTTAAAAACCTCCAGTGATGGAGCACCCACAATTTCTGAAGGCAAGCTATTTCCACTGTCAAGAAGTTTCCTCCTTAATTTTAGGTTGGATCCATCTTTGATAAGTTTCCATCCATTACTTCTTGTCCTGCCCTCAAGATGCTTTGGAGAATAGGTCGACCCCCTCTTCTTTGTGGCAGCCCTCTAAATATTGGAAAGACTGCTATCATGTCACCCCTAATCCTTTTCTTTTGATATGTGGACTTACAATCGCACAAAACATGTAGCTTGAAGAGACCCCGGAAAGCTTTACCTATTTTTCTCAAAGAGCACAGAAAATGTCCTGCCTGGTTCCTTTCTTTCTTTCATTTATTTATTTATTAGTCATATTTCTATGCCGCCCACTCTCCGAGGACTCTAGGCGGCTTACACCAAAGACAGTATACTAAATAGCATATTGCCCCCTAACAATCTGGGTCCTCATTTTATCCGCCTCGGAAGGATGGAAGGCTGAGTCAACCTTGAGCCAGTGAGATTTGATCTGCTGATCTGCTGAACTAGCAGTCGGCTGAAGTAGCTGCAGTACTGCACTCTAACCACTGCGCCACCTCGGCTCTTGCACTCTCTGTGGGTGCTTTAAATAGTAGGAAATCCAAGTGGAGGTCAGCAACCTTTGGTCCTTTGCAATGACCCAGCTCAAATTCCGTGGAAGGAAAACTGTGCCGGATACAGATAGGTGTACCCATCCAAACGTTGAATTTTTATGTGAATGGTTTGGAAGGGAAGAGCATAATCAATGGAGTAAGCGCAGATGATTTTAAGAATGACATTTGCAATGCATATTGCTGGGGGATTTTTTTTTGCACCTGTCCAGGAGTTACAGTTGGTTGTGTTTTGTTTACTGGGTAAGCAACTGTGTGGAGAGCAGTTGTGCAAGAGAGCGTGGCTCCTATCTGTTTGAGGAAGACCAAGAGGATGCATTTTGGCTAGTATATATTCCTTCAGTTACGTGAGCCTTGACTTCTTTTTTGATTCAAGCAAGAGGTCTCCAAACGTGGCAACTTTAAGACTTGTGGACTTCGAATCCCAGAATTCCTCATCCAGCCATGGATTTGAAGTCCACAAGTCTTAAACTTGCCAAGTTTGGATACCCCTGGATTAAAGTATATGGTGGAGCCATCAACTGAAGGAGAGGAAGCCCTGATAGGGGGAGTTAAGAAGACATTTTAGCTTAGACCTTTGGGGGGAGAAATGTTTGAGGTCAAACCTTTAGGTTTTATCTGGCCTTCCCAAGTCTCGAGAGTCTGTACAGTCTAGACCAGGGGTCTCCAACCTTGGCAAGTTTAAGACTTGTGGACTTCAACTCCCAGAGTTCCTCAGCCAGCTTTGCTTGAAGTCCACCAGTCTTAAACTTGCCAAGGTTGGAGACCCCTGGTCTAGAGAGATTCTTGTAAGCTGGTGATCAACAATAATAATTAAAAAAACAATCTGACCCATTCTCAAAGCTGTTCTAGTTGCTTGCACCTGACAAAATATTAGATAATGGAGACCCCACCTGACCTGCTCTCCAGGCATATGTTTCCCTTAGATGAGCCCCAAAGGATTTTACTCCAGTTTGCCAGACGCAACTTGACGCATCTTTTTAAGATAGGGATGGGCAAGCCTCAATCTTGCATTTGGTCCTGTGGCTTTGCATCCCCTTTTCCAGGGTCCCTCTAACTAGCGAAGCAAGCAACATACCCTTTTCTTGGCTTAAGATATCCGTGGAACCTTCTGAAAAACCAGAAAATTGAGATGAAGATGGTAGCCTCTCCACTGTCCATGGAAGGCCTCTGGAGACAAGTTGACTGTAGCCCAACAAATCTTCCAGGATAAGAAAGATGGGCTGTTCCTGGTCTGGCTTAACCTTGACTCTGCTGGTTGCAGCAATTGCCTTTAACCTGAGAATAGAATCTCAGGTTAATCTTTAACCTGAGTATAGAATTCTCAGCCAATGGAGTCAAAGAAAGTCCCTATACATCTGCAGAGCAACAGCTGGTGGGGGAAGGAAGAATCAGAACAGCAAAAATAGTTCCTTTCACTGAATATTTTAGTTGTGATCCTGTTGTTGTTTTTTTCTTCTTTTTTCGTTTTTTATTTTCTTTTTCTTTTTTGTCTTTTCCAGTCTAGTTTGTATATACAGTAGTGGCTAAAATTGTGGCAACCTTTTGGGAAAAGTGTATTTTTGAGGTTTGATGGCTAATAACACCACTTTTTTGGTGGGAGTTTCAAGATAATCCTATTCCACTGATGGAATGGCCTGGGAATATCCCAGACCTTCACCCAATTGAAAATCTATGGAGCCGACTAAAGAAACTTGTTAGTCAGAAGCAACCCAGGAACAAAACCCAGTTAATGGAAGCCATCATTCAATCTTGGTTTCACATGATAACAGCTGCAGAACTAAAAGACTTGGTTTACTCCATGGGAAGAAGTTGTAAGGTCGTAATTCATACTAAAGGTTACCCAGCTAAATATTTACATGACATGGTGATAATTTTTGTATATCTTGTTTTTTCTACGTGTTTCACTTTTCTTCTTTATACTGTAACTGCTATTCCAATAGCAAATCCTTCATGAAAGTTATTGCATGACATTCTTGACTAAATTATCTTTCCATTGATATATAATTTTATGGTACTCCAAAACAAAGAGGTGTTATTAGCTAGTTTAAGAAAATACCCAAAAGATTTTCACAATTTTGGCCACTATTGTACTTATTTATTTTCTGGGTACTAAAGCAATCAATTTAAATGCAAATAGTCAGTTATTAGTCATCCATGGGGTTTTCTGTTGACCTTCCGTGGCTTATAGTCCTAGTACTATAGTGATCCTGTTAATTTTAATTTAGTGTGTGATTACGGCTAAATGCAGTACTGTAAATCAATACAATATAATACACTTCAACATTCAATCTTCACCATGCCAGCCACTATCAAAATAAAACAGTGAAGTAATCAAAACAAGACATTTCCTAATGTTAGCACTGCCATTAATATTAGCATCAAGCAATTACAACCAGATGTATGAGCTTCAGAAAGGACTTGCAAAATATATATTTTAAGGGCTTTTTAAAACTTCAGGATATTTCATGCCAGATACTAATCAAGACAGAGTTCATCCAGAGGGCAGAATGAGAGTTTTCGGTTCGTAGTCTGTTAGATTAACCACTTCTACTTTTTGAAAAAAAGGTATTTATCAGAATCTAGCAAGGTCTGCATTTTTGCTAAGTCAGATTTATATACATACCTTTAGTTCCAAATCTCATATCTGCCCTCTGGTGGATCTTTTCATAGTGGCCAGAATTTACGTAGGACATTGATAATTGAGGAGAAAGTTTTAGAAAGGGCCTTTCTTCACTTCTACCCACCTTTTAGGTTCCTTAAGAGGTACCACATTTGAAGAGAAGTCAACAATTCAAGGTTATTTAAA